AATAGATTTGATAAAAGCTATTTACTTAGAGTATAATGCAGTAAAAATGCCTTTCTTTTAAACGGATAATACATTAAGTTTACTAGAGATTCAAAAAAATCAAAAATCGATATAAAGCTGATTCCCATCCAGATACCTATGCATATAAACCAGATGCATATATAGCATGTGATATAGCATATGGTATATAACTGAATAGCTCAATACCCTGCAAATAAAAGAAGAAAATAAATAAACTGATTTTTTTGCTAGTTTTTTTAAATTATAACTTCAAGAAATTTTCCAACATATTTCTGACTTGTTTAAAATATGAAAATAAAAAATTTACTTAAACAATAATAAGACTTCGAAACTTAAAATAAGGGTATGGTATGAATTTTTGACATATAGTAGTCGAATAGTATGCATATATAGTATATGGGACAGCATATGATATAGCATATGGTATATCATATGATATAGTATTTGGTATAGCTGATATTGCATGTATAGCATGTGGTATAGCATTTGATATAGTATATGGTATAGCATATGATATAGCATATTGTATATCATATGATATAGTATTTAGTATTGCTGAATACCGTGCAAATAAAAATGAAAAGAAATAAATTGAGTTATGCTGCTTGTTTTTCAAATTTTAACTTACACTACTTAAGGAAATTTCAGACACATTTCTGACTTGTTTACTATATGAAAAAAAAATTTACTTCAACAAATTAATGGGACATCAATACTTGAAATAATTCTTGTTTAGTATAACGTGAGACTGTTTGAAGATAACGTGAGGCAAATACGCCGATTTTCAGTCTTACTTCAATAACGAGATCACGCAAAAGAATTATATTTGATAATTATAAACTGAAATAACCAAATTACAAAATCCTCCCCCTCAGCTGATTGCGTAATTCTTGAACAGCCTTCTAATAATTTCTGGAAATCCGAAAAATAAAAAAATAAAATAAAAAGCTGTTTGAGAACGGTAATAAACTAAAAACAAATGTTTAAATCCATTAGGTGATTTAAAATTCGAGAGCAAGAAAAAAAACCTATTTTGTAAAAAACTATTCAAAATATCATTTTACTCCTGTATTTTATAAATTAAAAATTACTTTGATATCTAGGTTGTGTACAAAAATACAAAAAAGTACAAAAATACGAAAAAAGTTTCACAAGATTCGCTATGATGATAGGCTATATATCAAGAATGATAAAAAAAAAAAAGACTGATTATTAAAAAATAATTTCGTTGCTACAATGAACGTTTAGAAAAAGTCCTATTTCCGTCAAGAAATCTGAAAAATATTTTTGTGGTTTTGCTTTGCTTGTATCACAAAATTTGATTTGTTTTCATTTAAATTTAATTTTGCGTAAAATTTGTTACTACAATAGCTTTTATAAATTATAAATATTATTTTAGTTGGATACTTAAATTGCAAGTTACTTTAATTTCTGGGTTATGTTAAAAATTTAAAATTTCAGAAGAATGCTTCACAACATTCTTTATGAATTTAGGCTGTCTGTAAAGAATGGTAAAAAAAATTATTAATTATAAAAAGTAATTTCATTGTGATAATAAACATTTCTCTGGAATTCTAGTACCATTCAACAATCTAAAAGACTTTTTTCGTGATTTTCCTTTTCGTGTAACGTAAATTTTTATTTTTTTAATATAATCTAAGTTAAAATAAGTAATTCTTATAACTTTTATATATACTAGTGGGCTGCGTCTCCTGCTCGCTAACGCTAGCCAACCCCCGAAAATTGTTACACAATCTTATATGGTTAGCTTCGCAAACCAAGCTCGCTTCGCTCGCTACTAACTTAGGTACATTGCAAATGCACAAAATTCTAAGAATTCAAAACAATCATTCAAATCCATATAACAACTTTATTTTTAAAAAAAAAATCCATCTTTTTACTAAATACCAAATCACTAAAATAATTTTGAATTCAAATAAATGACATGTAATTCGTTAAATCTATTAGAAATGTGCTATAGTATAAAATCTTAAAGCTTAACAGCACGACTGAGACTCATTTTTCAATGGATAACTAATAACAATAATAAAACAAATAAATTCGTGATATAAATCAAAAATCGTCAAATAAATTCGTAGTATATAAATTCGTGAAAAAAAGCGCTTTCGACAAAATATTAAAATAGAGATCTATCGACAAGGACTACTCACTAGTCTATGTCGTCACTAGACTAAAGACTAGCTTAGTGTGAGATTGCCGCAGCTGATAGGGTGAATTTCGGAAGAGATCACATTTGGTGAGAATGCTCTCTCTGGTTATTTCAGTTTCCTGTGTTTGAAAGCGCTATATGTTGAGCCACCTCAGCTAGATTTGGTATGTGACATTTTTAGCGGCAATCATTGGTCAATTTTCTAGCGTTACCATCGGGGAATTGTAATGAGGCACTTTTTTGTCGCCGTGTAAGAGAAATATATATATAGATGGTTGTGCTCCGATAATTAAATTGCGAGTTTCTTCGATTTCTGGGTTGAGTTAATAATAAGAAAAGTGTCTCCTTGCATTCACAAAGATGATAGGCCATCTATCAAGGATGATGAAAAAAATTATTCATTATTAAAAGATAATTTTTTTTTTTGAGATAATGAGTATTTACCTGGATTCTTTATACCGGTAAAAACAATCAGAAAAAAAAATTATAATGTTCAAAATGAAGATAAAACAAAGGAAAATTACAGACATATGGAAAAAAGGGGGGGAGAAAAATAATAACAAACAACTGGGGAGGAAAAAAAAGGGATAAAATTTTTTAAAAAATCCGAAAAATGAAAGATATAATCTTTTCATCATCCCCCACGATTATATCCGTAAAAAAGAGTGCTTTCTGATATTGTATCAATATAGCCAAAGGAAAATACATTAAAATAATAGTGGGAGGAGCACTCAATAATTTTTATTTCTAATGAGTTCTGCTTCCTTGCAGCTTATGTGCAATAAATGAAACTTATTGTTTTTCTTCATTTTCTTCGGGGTTTTTTTGTATTTATTTATTTTGTTGTATATATATATATATATACATACATATATTNTGCTATATATATATATATATATATGACTTCTCTAGCAGAAGTTTAAAAGCATTTATAAAGATCGGTAATTGATAGGCGCTCAGTAGAATCAATTTCATTATAAATGCTACGAATAATGGTTTTGATGAAAAATATTTTTATTTTTAAACTCATAAAAAATTTAACAAATCTATTTTTAAATTGATTATTTCTTATTAAAAAATTAGTCACATAAAGCATTTTTAATTATAACAATTTTATAGCAATAATAGTAAACTATAATAAACAATAATAGTAAGCAATAATAGTAAACTATAAATAATAATCAAATTCAAAAGATTTCAGTTTTGATTTCGTTGTGTTAAATGCATACATCATATACTTAAGTATAAAAAAATGCTAAAATAAGTCTTATACTTTTATGTTATAATTGAAACAGATGCTTCAAACTAGCAACTATGATTGAGTAAACAAATATCATTCTTTCAGTAATAATTAACCAATAATATTAATTAGTTTCAGTAATGTTAATTAGTTTCCCGTATTCTGAATGATCTCTGGTATTAAAACTTCAATAAACAAACACATTAATTAAAAGTGATATATAGACATATTTTAAGCAATGCAAAATATTATACGGGTTAACAGAAATAAAAAAAAAATTTGAATTTAGATTAAACTTCTCTTTAATGATCAGCACCGATTACGCGTAATACTTGTGTGCGGTGGAGATAATATGCATAATAACACTCATAAAGTAACGAACACCACTTTTTGTGTGTAAAACCGGAAAAGTTAGAAGTGACTCCCCCAGGAAAAGCCAGAAGCCCTTAAGAAATTGTAGTAAGAATGGTTTTTTCTCACTTTTCCGTAATTTTTTTTCAAGGGAAAAAATTTCTTAGAACAATTCGTCAATAGGCGATCGTACTTCTCGAATACGCCATCTGGGGAGATGGCGTATTCATCCTCTGGTCATTCTTCTTTCCCTCTCTTCATTTTTATTAATAAAATTTTTTTTTACAAATGTAATTTTATGCAAATTTTTAATTAAATTTTATGTAAATGTGATGTTTTCATAAGCGAAAAAATCGTGTGAAAAGGAGTCGTGTGGAGAGCCATAGAGGGAGGAAGTACGTTAGTTTCTCTCTTTATAGATTAAAATCTTTTAAGTTGGAAAACTATATGGAACTAAAAACTACATTAAGCATAGTTCTAAATAAAAGTATCACGGAAATTTCAAAAAATATTTTTATTCAGTAAAAAGGAAAATATTAAGAAAATGGAACATACAGAGGGATGGATGGGTGGTAAACAATAACAAGTGTCCTTAAAGCGGAAGACATTTAGAAAATTTCCGGTGTATCCCTCCGCTTATGTTATGACTACGAGGCGATGTGTGAACAAGCCTAATATTCTATGCAGTTTTGTTATTGTAATTTGGGTTCAAATCTAAACATAATTGTACCATTCATAAGAGCTTTCAGAAATGTATTGATTCTCAGAGGTCGTAAGACCAAAACAAATTTTGGAAACTTAATATCTCATTGTGAATAATTCTTAAGGTTTGCCATGTTTTGTATTTTATCCCTTATTTGGCTACATTTGAATAAAATGTCGCCAAAAATATCTTTTTAAGATAGCCTAATTAGAAAATATTCTAATGATTAAAATATTAATATTATAATACTGAAGTTTAAAGGCTGAAAGAAAGAGCTCGGTACACGTGAAATACTGCAAAAGATATGATGTCGCGTTTTTTCAATCTGCGGCGTAAAAATATATCGGAAGCAGTAACCCGGAAGTCTTGAAAGAGCAATTTTACCACTAGCGACACCACCCTTAGCTTTACACGATCACCCATCCATAGGACGGCGTTCTTGTTCTCGTAATGTTTTCTGCTTGCAGTGAGATTATCCCTTTAGAAAAAAAGATAGAATTTCCAAAAGCGGGCAGAAGTAGGTAGCAAAATTTCATTTACTTCGCGGTTCGCGGCGATTGTTTTGACGTTTAAATTTTTTGAAATTGTATAGATAGCAGATTTCCATCTTTTCTTTGAATATATTACAGTGTCATCACTTCAAAAATGACTTCTGCCAAAAAACTTAGTGAAGGTACATGCTCTGAATCTGTTGATTCAAGTACATATTTTGTTGATAGTTTTAAAGAGGCTACTTCTGAACTTCTTCGCAGATTTTTAAGAAAAATCGAGTAAGTAACGTGTGTTCACGAATAGAAATCATTCGTTTTGAAATTTTAAATTGGTATTAAATATATTGTATATCTGTAGAGTGAATTCAAATGCACAAATTTTTTTTACGTTTTTTCGCACCAATTAATCGACTGAGTTTTACAAAAAAAAAATGGAATCTGGAAATTTTTGATCTGAAATAGGTTAAAACGATTCAATGAACAGTATGTTTCACTACGTAACAGGGAATATTTCCGTATCGGGATCTGCGGCAGAATAACCGCCTTGGAAGGAAAAAAAAACCTAACAGAAAGGGACTAACTCGAAAAGTATTACTCTTAGCCAGACATATTTTTTTTTAAAAATTGCAAGTTTAAATTGCCTTGATGATTGTAGTTGACGCGACAGATCACAATACAGAAATATCCCACTAAAACTAACAATCTTACATCTATTAAAATTTAAAAGTGTGTTTGAAAAATTGTGTGCTATTTATTTTGTTTTTTATTTTATTACTTTATTTATTTATTAATTTATTTTGTTTTTGATATTCACTCAGCATCTATATTTTGTACAATACATCCAGTTACCTTTATAATATCTTTTTTATTTATTAAGATTTTAATTTTCGTGTGAGAGCAAAAATATAAATGTTATTAGACTAATTATGCCCTTTTTGCATATACCAAAACTTTTTTCTACATTTAACCTTAGAGCATTGTTGAAAAAACTTAAATCAGTTCTATTAATTTTTCCAAAAGTGTTGGCTACAATTTCAAAATTTACAGCTTTTGATTTTATTTGATCATTTTTACAAGTAATATTTATATGATGCACTATATATGCCAGTTTTCTTGAATATGTTATGGTTACAACATTGCATTTTAGGTTTAAAAATTTCAAAACAAAACACTATTCAGAAATTTATAATGAAGATCCTGAATTATTGAAAGAAACTTATGAGCAGTTTTCAAGACAGTTGGAGAATTCAATCAAAATTGATCTTGATGAACTTTGTAATGATCAAGATATTTATGAGAAGCTCAAAACACTGGATGATCTAAATAAAGAATCTAAAATTTCAGAAGATGTTAAAGCTTGGTAAGTTTTCAAATTTTTAAAAATCATTAATAACTATTAACTGGTGAATATTAAATTATTTTATTACTCAATTAGAAAATCATATGTGCCTTGTTAATGTCATTCTTCACATGGAATGCTAAAATGTTGTTTATTTTCTTAAAGTTTTTTAAACTTTTTTATTGAGAATTTTTGTGAATCTTCACTACAGGGTATCTAAGTCAACATTTTAACACTACAGAGTATAAGGAGGACAAGTGTTAAGGAGATGAGGGGTTGTTTCTGTTTCAGTTTTGTAGCAATATTTAATTCCCCCCCAAAAAAAATACAGAAAATTTATTCAAAATTTATAAAAGAATTTTTTAACCAAGGTTGGGTGTAAATAAACTGTTTGGTAAAACCTTATTTAACTTTTCCTAAAGATTATGTAAAATATCATTATAAAATTTATGTTTGCAAACAAAATGTGTATTACCAATTTACAGGGATGAGATTTTTCCGCTTTTTAGCTGATTTCCGCTTTTTTCACTTTTATCTCTTGAATTTCAGCTTTTTTATCAAAATTTTTTTTTTTTATAAGTATTCCGCTTTTTCAGAAAATCCACCGATTTTCAAAGAGAAACAGAAAATTCAAACTACATGACTACCAATCTTTCTCATTTTTACTTATTTTAGCTATTTTTTCCCCTTTTACACGCAGCAGATAAGATTTTCCGAACTTTTTACCCGCCCTCCAGATACATCGGACTTTCATAGTTCAAAAGACGCTGCTTCTGGCAAGCCTTTTAGAGATCCCAAGCCTGGAATCTGCTAATATCTCGTTTCTTATTCACACAATTTTAATATCAAACATAGCTCTTCATATTTGCGTGTTGCGATTCTTATTCACGCGATTTGAATATTGTATGTTGCAATTCTTATTTACAAGATTAAAAAATACAATATTGTGATTCATATTTATGCCTTTTTAAAAACCCATGTAGCAATTCATATTCACGCAAGTTTAAAATTCAATGTATTGATTTGCTCATGCGGTTTATAATATCAAACATTAATTTTCGTTTTTATACGTGATTTTAAAATAAGGCATTGGGATTCGCATTCATGCATTCTAAAAATTATGCATCATAATTCTTCTTTATGCAATCTAAAAATTTTGCTTCGTGATTCGTATTTACGCGATCCAAAAATTATGAATTGTGATTTTAATTTACTCGTTTTAAAAATTCTATATCCCAGTTTGTATTTTCTCGTTTTCAAAATCGTATATCTAGTTTCATATTCATGTGATTTCAAAATCCATAATTGTTATTCATATTCATGCAATTTTAGGATCAACTATCGCGATTCTTGTAAGAAGTACATTTTTTTAAAAATTAGTTACTATAAAGGTGACTGTTTTTCTAATGATGATTATTAGTATATGTAAGTGTTACAACATCAGAGAAACTGGAAGGGAATATATTCAAAACTTACATTCTGTGCTTGCAGAGAAGAAAAAATAGGATTTGTCACAAGATGTTTGAAGATGGACTAACGACTAAATATAGCAAACATAAAAGATATAGCAAACAAAAGCAATCACTTAAAAAGGGATTTAATTTTATTTATTTATTTTTTTGGAAGAAGAGTTAATTAACTCATCATCAAAATTTTATTTATAATTGCTGTTATTTATGCTATAAAATGCAAAATTCTTATCAAGTAAAAAACAATTATCAAAGCAGTTGCTGATTGTCATGTAATTTCTCAAACTAAAATGGCAATTTTTGTATGTTAAGGAGTTACTATATATTTCTACTTCACTGTTGATATGTTTCAAAGGGCTCTAGTTAGATTAGACTATAATATGAACATAATGATTCGGTCCATTGTTAAAGTTTTTTTTCCCTGTATATTTAAAAAGTAATATTACTGATATATTTGCTATAAATCACATAACAGTATTTATTAAAAGAAATGAAATATTAATGTATATTCTCATTGGTTTAATTTGCTAAACCAGGTAGTTTTTCAAGTAATAATTGTCTCTTATGTGAACTGAGGAAAAATATAATTTCCAGCTTTATTTTTTCAATTGGTAATTTTTTTTTCACTAAATGTTAAGTCAATGTAATCATTTATATAATAATAGATTAGTATACAATTCTATGTCAACACATTATTTATTACCCTAAACTGTCCGGAATTTATTGTTAAAGGGTTGCGCTTGCGTAAAATTTACTATCGTGGAAATTCAGCTTTTTTGCCTTTTGGCTAATCTCATCCCTGAATTTAAAACCTATGTTAAAGAATTACACTGCTAAACTACTTTTTATTTGTTTGCTTTATACTATTAGTGTTTTCATTACAGCTCAAGAATCTCGCATATTTTTTTCTTTTCTCCCATTAAAAAATGATTACCGAGAGAAATTCGCCCATACTATAAATCAATTTCAAAATTCGTGAATTTCTCGCATTTTGGAAAAACCTTGCATTACGCTATTTAGAATAAACTCTGTTTCGCTTTTCTTCCTGGATCTTTCATTATTTTCACCATCTGCCCCATTATCTAGCTTCCCTATTTACCAGTATTGTTTAGAACCTTTTCGAACAACAGCACACTACCCTTCCGAACCACAGAACCCCTTTCGGTACACATTTCTCTGCAACTACGTATTTACAGTAGGTAAGGTTTTCTTGTGTAAGACGTTCAAATTTTTTATGCGCTAATGTAAGATGGACAAATACCTTGTAAAAGCAAAATCTTCTATGATGATGCAGCAAAAATATTCAATGCTTTAAAAAATAGAAGATGTTAAAAATGTATTATAATTAAAGAAATGTTTGTGTCTGTGTTTTTTTTTTAGTTTTTTGGAAATCTCACTTAACTTTTTGAAATTTCACTCTGATTTTGAGAAAGGTTGAGAAATTCTCACCCATTTTTTTTCTATGATGAAAACACTGTACTATCATATATTTTTTCATTGAGTTAGCAGGATTTAAACATGATTAAAATCACAAATTAAATCATTAAAATAAATTAACTCATTTATATGAAGTGTTATTTTTTCCTTCCAATTATTAGTTTTAATCCTGGAGTCTGTCGAGGCCAAATTTACTACCGTATAGCAGTACCTTCACAAATTCAATTTTAGGAAAAACGGTAGTTTCCCAAAATACTTTTTCTTAAAATTTTAATTTTGTATCCCGTAAGAAACGATTAACCATATTTTTGTGTTGATTTTTCAAAATAATTCCTAATTTTCACTAATTATGTCAAAATTTTCACAAAATAGGTACCTCACAGAGAAACCTAGACAGACTCCTGAAATCAATAGATTTATCTTTAAAAAATATTAAATTAAATGTAAAATATTTTTTATACAATACTATAATAAATAAACATATTTTTAAAGAGGTGATTTCTTTAAGTCTGATTCCATTGATTATGAAGGATGATTTCATTGATAAAGGGGATGTTTTTAAAGTAATATGTTTCAAACTAGACTAAAATTTATTGGAATGTTTGAATAGTAATAGTTTGAGTAAAAATAACTATGATTTTATTTAATCAGTAATTAATTTATTATAATTAAATAATAATTATAAGAATTTTAGTAAGAAATATCCACTATTTTTGCTATTATATTGTTTTTAAATAGTATTAAGGATTTATAAATTTTATTAGATGCTCTGGTTGATAAATACCACTAGAGGCTTGAATTAGGCTAGGAAATAACTGTTATTTTCTAATTTATTTGTTTTGACAACTAACCTAAGTTCTACTTATTATTACAGAAGGGGGAAAAAACAGATTTAGGTCTTGAAATTTTAACTTTAGGCCACTATTTTCATGAAAAATTAGAAAAATGTTGGCAGATTAAGTATAAAGAACTTTTTGGAGGCCAAAAGTATAACATGATGTGAAAAAAGGAAAATATATTTATTCAAAAAATTATGTTGGGTTGTTATAATATTACAATGGCTTCAATATCTACATATAATTAAAATTAAAAATTTATGAGAAATGTTCCCTTTATAACAGCATATCGCTGCCTTTCGGCACTAAAATGCCGTTTTTCAAGGTTAAAATATGTTAGTGGAGGCCCATTTATAGAAATTCTGAATAAATCATTCAAGAAGTTCTGTCCTTGTATTTTCCCCAAATTTTGCAGCTAACTGTTAATTCTGGGGGGGGGGGGNCTGGGGGGGGGGGGTAATTTGATTTGAAATATGACGTTTTACGAGACTCATCTGCCTTAAGTATTCATTAATTAATGGCAAGCTAGTGAGTGGAGATCTTCTTGCCCTACTAATTTTTTCGGGTGGGCAAACTTCAAAATTGAAAAAAATTTTGTTATTGCAGCATCGAATAATTTCAGCTTGATTTTCTAACAATGGCTAAAGCCAAGCCCATGAAAAAATTAAATTCTTTAAACATCTCTCCCAAACAAGCTAAGATCAATTTTCGTAAATTGTCATTTAAGCAAAAATTTCTAAGCAGTAGAATCAAAATTATCTTGTTATACCCTTCGGCTAAACTAACTTGTTATATAAATTGAAATACATTTCCCTTAATTTGAGCACATACTTTGGTGAATGGAATACATAGCTCAAATGTATTTTTGGGTTGTTTCCATTCAAATGAGAAGGATAATTAAAAATTATTTAAAATTTGAAAAATTGCTAAATTCCTATGGCAAACCTTTATTGTTGAGGAGTTTATTGCCCTTGTTTTGACTTTTAATACTTTACACTTACAGAGATGAAAAGTAGATTAGAAAATAAGGGTAGTAACTAATTAGGGATCTGACCAGCCGAGTATCCGTTTAGCGGTACCCTCACAAATTTAACTTAAGGAAAAAAGGTAGTTTCACAAATTAAACTTTAGGAAAAACAGTAGTTTCACAAAATACTTTTTCTTAAAATTTTATTTTTGTATTCCGTAAGAAACGATAAATCCATATTTTTTGTGTTGATTTTTTAATATAATTTTTAATTTTTCACAAATTATGTCTAACTTTCACAAAATAGGTACCTCTCAGTAAAACCTTGACAGACCCTTGCTAATTAAAGTAATTGAAAATTTGTAAATCGAAATTTTTATAATGTTTATTAAACCTTCTGCTTAATTATTCTACCATCTCTTTTAGTTTGGGCTCTATAGTTTGTTTCACACAGCCATTCTACTTCCACAAGAGTTTTCAATTTGGTTAGAAAAATTCATACTGATTTCTGCCCAAGTCTAAGAACTGAAACTTAATCTTCTCTTCTTAAAGGAAAGCAAAAGAACATAAACTCAAATCTGAAAAGCTGCGAACAGAAATTTTTAGTGTTTCAAATGCAAGATGCTAAAAGGGCAGTAAGGGTTTAATTCTAATGTAACCAAAAACTTGAGATTCCAAATAAATAAATTTAATTTTGCAATTAAGTATAAAATGTCAATGTTGTATAATTTTTAATTTAGCTTGTTTACCTAAAAGTTGCTTGGTTTTATTTCATAATAAATTCATGCATAATTTAATTAATATTTCATTCCTTTATAGGATTAAGTAGTAATATACACCTTAAAATTGACCTGATTTGAATTTTGTAAAACTATATTTCTGATTATTGTGCTTTCTGTTATTTGGTTTGGGAAGTTGACATTTGTTCATTTTTAAATTGCTTTATATATTTTATATATATATATATATATGTACTTTTTATTTATTTATTTTTGCTTAATGTTTAAAGCTTTAAGTTTCATTTTATGTGTTATGTTTATATTTCTGATTATGCTTAAAGAAAACTTTATTCACCAATTAACTGACTGTTATGTAACATACATATCTTTCTTTAATTTTTCGATTCCCACAGGAGACCATCTGGAAATCCTAATGAAGATGTCAGAGACTATAGATGCATTTGCAAATCCGCACACAAAAAAGCATTGAATGCTTTATTAGAAAATGTTCGATCTCAAAATGACCAACTGGAAAAAGAAGTGATGGCCAATCATGAAGAGATTATAATGTTAAAAGAAGCTGTCACGAAACAGGCTGAAGAAAATAAAGCTGTAAGTGTTAAATAATTTTTGTTCTTTTTCACGGGGTGGTACTATTCTCTCTCTCTCTCTCTCTCTGGAAACCGGAAAATCCTTGAATTCCAGAATTTTTATTCAAATTCTGGAATTCAAAGATTTATTATAGTAATATAGTTTGTCATTCCAATAATTGCACAGAATTTCATTATAAAGTGCTTTAATTGTTTAAATAACTAATCACATATTTTGCCAATTCACTCCATGATATCATTACTAATTCTTCTGGTCAGAAATGCTATTTTTAAATATCAGTTTTTATTGGTCTTTTGTCATTTTAGCTTTCTTTCAGAATCATTTATTTTATTTAAATTACCCTGGGGAAAAAAATTATTTTTAAAAATTAATTCATATTTCTACAAATCTTTAGCCAGTAATAACTTAATTAACGAATTTATGAAAAAAAGATTTAAAAAATAAAGTTTTCTTTAATATTGTGAAACTTTTAGGCATTCGTTAAATAATGAACAATTTTTATGTTTAAAAACTTATTTTGCAGTTCTACGTAAATTTGTAATTTATAAAATTGTGTTGGTAAATTTTAAAATCAGTTAAAAATATGCTGATTTATGTTATTCCAAGTTGCTTACTTTTTCTGGTTTTATTCTGTATATCTTGGATTATCAAATGTAGAAATTTGCCAGCTTGTTTTTAATTTTTAAATGTCCTTCACCATTTTTTAAAAAAGTTTTTTCCCGTTAGTAAAAGTTATATCCCATTAGTATAGTAATTAATGTCTGAGCTAAACACATGAAATAATGAAGGAATGAGCTCAAAAAAATTATCATTAAGTGGTCCTTTGTGCAGTGTAGTTTGCAAAAATACTCAAGTACAAGATGACAATTGCTGTCAGTGTTATTTTAAAAACCTTGTAGGGATTTTTTTCCCTTTGGGTCCAGTAACAAGTGCAAACTCACATTTTTCGCTTATATAAATTGATAGTGTCAAAGTATATTGATAAATTCTTCTGCCTTTAAATAACTGTAAATAAAATTATCCAATTTATTTGAAGGCGAACTTTAAAAATAGTTTTTGATCACGTGATTTTGCATAGTGGATATAAAGAAAAACTTTGTATTATCTAAAGCACTACTGTGGGTCTAGGAGTTATGAATATTAAGATTCCGTAAGTTAAAATAAAATACAAAAAACATGGAGATGAACAACATTTTGCCACTCATTTTTAATATTTTTCATTGTACTGAAGATCAGTGATTTCCCTTATTCTTTATAGCATGTTAATTATGTCAAAAAATTTTAGAGTAAATGCAAAAAGAAGGAACTTCGTAGGTAAAATTATAACCAAACTTTAGATCGCATTACATAGCATATTCTTTGCTCCGGATTGGAGCACAGAGCTGTTGTCGTTACTCATCATCTCACTTTTTTTTGTGGCCAGGTATCTTCCCTCTTTAAACTTTAAATACAAATTAATAATAAAAAAATATTAGAAGCTGAAGATAGGGTTTGCATATTTTAAATCACTTGAATTTTTTAAAATTTTCAAGAGATATTAATGTTTAAATCAACTGTGTTTTTCTAAAAGCCTTTATTTAAAACAATCTTAATTTTTTTTAAAAATTTTATTAATATTTTTATACAATTTAATTAATAAATACATTTAAGACATGATATTTTTAAATGTTTGATTTTATTGATACTGAAGGTTTTTAATTTGAGAAATATGCATGTAAATTATTATAAATACGTATATATCCGTTCATCCTTTTATTAATTTAAATAAAAAAATTTTAAATCAATAATTTAATTGAATTTTTATTCTTTTGAAAAAATTATTGAAGTATAAAATATTTTTATGCCATATTATTAATAAGAACAATTTTTAAAGTCTTATTTTATTAATAATGAAGGCTATTTACTAAGAAATAATGAAAGGGGGGCTGTGACGGATTTTTTTCGTTCTTTCTGCTATTACCTCTCTAATACTTATTTCTTTCTGCATGATACTTTTAAAAATAACAAATATACATGTTACTAAATTAAAATAACAGAGGGTCAACTTCAAAAAAAAGAAGAAGAAAAATTCGGATAAAAAATTTTTTTAAAATTAAATGTGTAATATTTTTTTATATTCTATATTATAGATGATATTCTCGCATTTTTTTCGGGGGAAGACACACTTGTGAAGTCGAGTCACAAGCTTTACCTTAATTCCTGATCCTAGCATATTGGGGACGATGTAATGATTAGGATCAGGAATTAAGCTTGTGACTCGATCCCACAACACTAATTATTTCGTTTCTCACATTTTGTAAATCATCATCACATTAAAATAAAATTTAAAAATCATGGGATCCTTAACAGTAACTGGCGGGGGGAAAATATCGAGGAGGAAATCATGCAAATCAAAAAAGGGTTACTAAATGCGTGTTTTCATTTCGAGACTCAGTTGTTGTAACAAATAATATGGCATTGAAAATATCGGACTTTTAAAAAACTATGTGGAAATCAATAGTAATAACTGTATCAAAAACTTTTAACGAAAATATCTGCCGAAAAGAAGATTAAAATTTTTTACTTCATTACTCTTTTTTGTTTTTCATTATTCTTTAATGAGAATAGAAAAATCAATAGCATTTTGTTCCACGCTGATTCGTGAGGAAGCATCTTTTGAATATAACTCTGAGGAAAAGATAAAATCTGTCAAAAATTTTTGCATGAAAAATAAAAATCTGAATTTTTTGCTTCCCAACGAAAAATCTTTCTGACAGAATTGTTTAGCGAGAATTTGGATAAGATTTTTTCACTGGGGTAAGGGGTATAAGTGTAAATTGTATTTTAAAATTTACTAAAAATAAAATAGACTAAACATATTTAAAAATGGCATGATACTATAAAATTGTAAATTTTTATCAAATGTAGGTAAAATAGTTTGCAGGCAGAAAACAAATTTAAGCTGGATCCATGTTTTATACTTATTTAAATGTAGTTAATGTATATCAAGATTTGTTCTATCCAAAGTAACTTAAAATAATTCTTTTTCATCCATGTTTTCAGATCTAAACTAATTCACTCTTCAATAGATTTCTAATTGACAAATAATCTTCCAATTTTTAACATTCTTTAACAAGTTGAGCTTGAAAATTATAACTATGATTTTATTTATTCAAGGAATAGTTTTTAATAACAAGATAATTTCAACTATTTTAATAAACAATGTTAATTATTTTAACTATAATACGTATTGGTGACCTGTAGTCTTTAAATGCCTATAGTGCTATGAAATACAGTGTAACTTTTCATTTCGCATTGCAGGCAATAAAGTTGCAATGCAAAGTCATAGAAAGTCGATTCTAAAATTTAGGCTATGTATCTTTTTCTTTAAAAAATAAAAGTTCAGTTTGATTGCAATGAATTTTTAATATATTTTTGGTGATCCTATAGATAGTTACAAAAATTATTAATTTTGTTTTTAATTTACTGATTACTTATAACACTAAAGAATATGTGTTTTTATGATTATCAAAACTTATTTTCTATGTTTTTAAAATTTAATTACCATTTTACTTATTTTTTTACCAATTTTCTTTGAAGTATGACAATAAAATTGCTTTTTAAAATGTTTAATAAATTAATTAACCATTGAGTACTTTTTGCTCATATGGTAAAATTTTGCTTAAATCTGTTTACTTATAATATAAAACTTTTTATAAAGATTGTTATTATAATTGAAATAAGATTTCTCTTATGTTCTTATTAATGGCATAGCTCACTTTAGAAACTTGTTTATTATAATTCATTTAGATTATAATTTATGATTTTGTGTCCATTTATGAATAAATTATTTGACTTGTAATTAATATTGACTTTTAAAATAATAAGCTTTTTTATTGATCATATAAAAATGTTTCATGTTTTAAAAAACACTTTTTTTAAAAAGTTAGGTAATTTTTATTCTGCAAGCAGAGCAGAATTGCATCTTATGTTATGCAACAAGACTTTATGCAATTACAATAGTTCTGCAAGCATTCATTGAAAATAAATAATGGTCATTTGCAGGTTAAAATATTCCTATTTTCAGGGTTTGTCACTGATTTTCCTGATGAAAAATATTCTGTCTTGATTTTTAGATTTTTGTCATGATATTCCTGATTTTTGTGTGCATTCAGAACATCCCACTTTCTAAGAATGTAATTTTGGATTTTTAAAAAATAGATTCAACGAATTGAAAAACTTGAATTTGTGATCTAACTAATAATGCTAGTTGAAATCATCAAATTTAATAGTTCAAATTTAGGGACCATCTACAAGTTATGTTCATTGTTTAGGCATATATCCTTAATCACAGGATTCATTATTTAAAGTTTTTTTGGGAATTCAGTCATTCTGTAAAATAATTGAATTAACAATTTTATGTTATCAAAGTTTTATGATGATGAATTCAGAGCTCATACGCTTAGGTAAGTGCAGTAACAAATCTTGTAAGGTCGATATTTAATTATTGAAACTCTACATTAAAATTACTTTATTAAGAAAATCTTGAAATCAATTACAAATTTTTATTATATTTGGTATAAGGGAATATTAACTAAGTGATATTGGTTATTTTTTAAGTGCCAAAGTACTATAAAAAATTTTATGACAATATTGAGTAATCTAGATTAAAGGGTGGATTCCTCAATAATCATCACGCCTTTTCGGCATAAAATGTTTTATATTATACAACCCAAATTTGTGCTTTTTCCTCTTTAGGGTATGCAGCTGACTATGTTGAATTTTGAACTAGATTTAAAACAAAATTGCTTTAATGTCTTTAAATATTTATTCATATATTATAGAAATATTTTGTTTTTATAATCACTTATATTTGAATAATGTTGAAACTTGAGGTGTAATTTCAGAATGCTTTTTAGTAAACCTGTTTCAGATTTCTGAAAATTCCATTGCTAATTTTAGCCTGTCAATTCTTACCACCTGTTGTTGCTAATTAGAATTTGATAAAGCTCTGCTCAATTTGGTTTTCAGAATTTTGATAAAAACTATGAGTTTATAAGGTTTCGTATGATAACTTTCGGTCTTGTATCAGGATATATAGTAGTAGTCAAAAAAAATTCTCTAAAAACTAACTATAACTAGGTGGTCAATTTCTACTACACGTTATATTTTATAATATTGATCATTAATTTTAACAAATTTGTTTTCATACAGAAGTTTAGAAAATAAAATAAGCTTAAAATGTTACTTTTAGAAAAAATAGTTTGAACAATTAATGGAAAATATTTTTTTTTTTTTTTTTTTTTTTTTTTTTTTTTTTTTTTTTTTTTTTNTGGGATAAAAATTACTTTCTGTTATGATTATTCATAAATTTCTGTCATGGTTATTCTAAAGTTTTTAATTGTGAAATCTTTGTTCAAATATTAAACAATAAATATGTATTCCATTTCAAAATTATGATGGATATTGTATACTGTATTCATATGAGTTTTCTTTTTCAGTGATATTAAACATATTGATTTAATTATAAAGCAGTTTTCTTCATTTAATATTATAAATTTAACCTGTTGTTGCTTACAGCTTGTACAACTGATGAACCAGAATTTCAGTTGTTATGCTAAGCGCTGTAAGCAACAGCTTAAAAATTATGTCAGGATTTTTGCTGACACTGTATTTATAAGACCACTCATTTCAAAATAAATTTATTTAAATAAAATAAACAGTTACTATTCTTAATTTTAACTTTTTGATACTCATATCTGCATGATGTATAAATGAAACCTCTCAACAGATTTTAGAATAACAAGAGTCATCAATAGCAGCTCATAAATTACAATACAAACATGTTACAATTCATATTCACACATTTTTAAAGTTTCATCAAAAAGTTTTAGAACCTTATCTTCAACTACCTTATTTATTTATTCCAAAAAATTGCGTAGAATCAACTGCAAGCAGTGTGAGGACTGTACCTGTGGTATTGTGATTTAGTTTTTAATATTAATAACATTTAATTTTGAGTAACATTTAATTAATATTAGTTTTTCTATTCATATCTGCATGATGTATGAATGAAACTTCCTAACAGATTTATCAATACCTGCTCAGGAATTACAATACAAACATGTTACAATTCATATTCACATATTTTTAAAGTCACACGTCAAAGAGTTTTAGAACCTTATATTCACTTACCTTATTTATTCTAAAAAATTGTGTAGAGTCAACTATGCTGTGGTATTGTGATTTAGTTTCTAATATAAATAATAGTAACAATTTATCTGCCCTTATAGAATTAATATATTATTATGTGTAATATAGGCGAACACTGTTCGCAGTAAATTTGTCACTGTGGAAAAGTTTTTAGTATTACTCATTATAAATAAAACATTGTCAAAATTCTTTATTTTTTCTCCGTGGTCAATATCTTTCAACATTGCAGAAAATTTTTTAGTATTACTCATTAAAAAAAAAAAATTGAAAAAGGTCAAAATTTCTCAATCCTAACCTGCAGGGCAATCTGACAGAGATTGATATCATTTCTCTCTTTTCTTTGCACAGCAACTCTTTTCCTACAATTATGCCATACACTTGTCTTTTAAGCATGCTGGTATGTATAATAATCTATATAAAGTTTCATAAAAATTAAAACAGTTTTTTTAAAAAATTGATGATTTTTCAAGCAAATTTTGCTAAAATAGATATTTTAAGAGCATTGCAATATTTGTGTAAAATGTAATTGTTTGCAGGAAGTTTTATAATTGAAATTATGTGTTCATTAAAAGTATTTCATTTTATTTAAGTCTGGAGATTTGTATTAATTGTGCGAAATGAGAAATTTTCAGTACAAAATAATTTTAGTTTTTCACCACTCACTTTAATTTTAGTGCAATCGATATTAATACCTATTCATATCTTATGCATGCTATGTCTAACAATGTACATTTTTATATTAAATTTAATTTTTTTTTTCAATTTCTGATCTATTTAAATACTTTATTTAAACAATTAAGTTACTGACTCTTTCTCTTATCAAATCCTGATTTGCTAAATCAAATCAATTGTGTTAATATATTTTATTTAAAAAAAAAATGCTAACAAGGTAAGTGGAGAATTTTTAATTTTTTGGTGTTTGATGAATGTTTGCTGATTATTCTTTATTATAGATACCTTGTTGCAGATTATTAAATGTAATACTGCCTTTAGCCTACCAGATCTATGCTGAAAATTTTCTTGAGAAACACTTTTTAAATGATTGCCTAATACTACAAAATTGTTTTAAATGAAGGAAATAAAAAAGAATTATGCCATCAAGTTGTAGTTCCTGTTTATGATATAAAGCAGGGGTCTGTTTAGAAGAAATTTGGGTCCCTTAACGGGCTCTTCACAAAATATCTTTTCATAAAAACCTTTCCTTCACAAAATATTTTAACTCAAAAACGGACCATTCACAAAATGATTTTTCTTTTAATCGGACCCTTTCACAAATCTGTTTATCTTCATTATTGTTTTGATAATCAAATAAACCCTTCCCAGGGCAGAAGACAGAAAGATGGATGTAAACAAATCAAGTTTTGTCTTTGGCAGACGATTCTTCCATTATTCGTCCGAAATGAATATTCTGCGTTCAGCAGTATAGGCTAAATACCAAATATTTGTATGTTGCATCTCTAATTTCGAAGCAGCAATTGCTGTTTATTTTTGAAAATTTAATTTTTTTAATTATAATTTTACAGTGCCGAGCATAATCTTGTATCTATTTACAATTTAAAAACTCATTGAAAAAGTTTTTTGCAATAACCGGACCCTATTTGCACAAGTTCATAAAAGTGGACCCTGGTTGAAAGAACGTGAGTAATTTTTTCACAATTTCACAAAAACCGGACTTTTCACAAAATGTCTAGACAGACCCCTGTAAAGAATTTTGGTTGTTCACTTCATTGAAAAATAAAAATTGCCAATGTTAGATAGTTTTTTTACCAATTGGGTCTATTTTGATGGACAATATTGACAATATTACTTTCATGGAATGTATATATAATTTATGCAATAGTAATAGTTTTTTTTTTTTTTTGTCGTAATTTTAGGATCTCAATATCTTAGAAGAAGTGGATTTCAATATGATTGAAAATTTGAATCAGATGGTAGATGACTAATCGCAGTTTTGACAAGAATATGTTTTGATTTGACTTCGTATTTTACATTTTAATGATATGTTTGAAGTATATTTTTTATATTTATTTTATTCATATTTGATATGTTACTGTGAAACTGTAACCATCTATTGGATATTGTATATATTCATTTTACTTATGAGCAATGAACTATCATCGAAATAAGTTTTAAAAAAAAAAACTGGCTCCTTTTGAATTATTTTGTTTACAACTAATTTTTATTCTTTTATTGCCAAGATAGTTTCCATAAAGGTTGAAAATTTATTTTTTAGTATTAAGATTCAGATAGATTCTTCAAAGTTGTAATGTTTCTAAAGCTTTTTTTTTTTTTTGTGTAATATATCTGTATTCAATTTTCAAAACTAGTTTTTACTATTGACAATGAAATTTGGAACACAGATTTGATATAACCTCTAAATTAAGCTCAGAACCAATTTTTTTCAATTGTAAATTATATTGGTGATTCATTCTACTATAATAGACTTAACTCGGTTTCAATGAGTTTTTATCGCATTTTGTATAGGTACTTGATAAGTGAAACTAGGAAAATTTGAAGGTTGATTCTTCTTTTTATAATGTATTTTTAACCATTGTAAAGTAAATTAAAATTTATAAATCTTTAAATATAAGGATAATTTTCGTCATACAGTGTTTTCATCGCAGAAAAAAAATGGGTGAGAATTTCTCACCCTTTCTCAAAAACAGGGTGAGATTTCAAAAAGCTAAGTGAGATTTCTAAAAATTAAAAAGCAAAAACACAAAGAGACATGAAAAAAATCATTTCTTTAATTATAATAAATTTTTAATATCTTCTAATCTTTAAAGTATTGAATATTTTTGCTGCATCATCATATGGAAAATGTTCTATATCTACTTTTTCATCAGCTATTCTCATTAGGTAACTCAAATGCGTATTTATTTCGTTTTGATCGTTTCTACCCACATTTGTTTCATTTTCATTTGTCCGTTTCGGAGTAGAAGATATTGCCTTTACAAGGTATTTGTCCATCTTGCATTAATGCGCAAAAAATTTTAACGTCTTACATGAAGAAACCTTACCTACAGTAAACACGTGGTTGCAGAGAAATGCGTTCTGAAAGAGGTTCGGAGGGATGGTGTTCTGTAGTTCTTAAAGATTTTAACAATACTGGTAAACAGGGAAGCTAGATAATGGGGCAGATGTTGAAAATAATGAAAGATCCAGGAAGAAAAGTGAAACGGATTTTATTCTAAATGGCGCAATGAGAAATTTTTTTCAAAATGCGAGAAATTCGCGAATTTTGAAATTGGTTTATAGAATGCGCGAATTTCTCGCGGTAATCATTTTTTAATGCGAGAAAAGAAAAAAATATGCGAGATTCTCGCGTTCTCGCGCTGTAGTGAAAACACTGGTCATACCTCTTATTTGTACTTTTTTTTAAGCTAGCATTAGATATTTATTAGACTTAATTTATAGAATTTTGCCAGTTGTTAGATCTTTATTTGCAAATGGTTCATTGAAAGAAAGAAAATATTTTTTAAACAGATGTTCAGTTCCATAAGTATATTCAATTTATAAATTTTTTACAGTATCTCCAAAGGTGTTTATTTAAAACTGAAAAGCTCATACTATTATAGCATTTCCTTACCTACTTGATATCTGTTTCCAAAGTCAATCAAAGTTCCCAAAGTTATATCAAAAGTTGTACTTGTTTTTCTAAATTTTCTCTTCACACTATGTCGTTCAATTCGTATTAAACTATTCTTGATAGTTTTTAAATTTCTGCAGTGTGTGTATGCAACTTAGTGTTAATTGTGCACAGCATAGTTTCTAAATTCTTCTGGATTGTGAAAATTCTGATTCATTTGGATTGCAATTTACCACAATTTTAAAGTAAATATCAAGTCATTTATCTTTTTTTTCCGCTACGGATGGTGTTTTCTACACTAGGGAACGCTGCAAGCTCCATACCACCTATAATTCTGGGTTACTGTATCCGGTGTATTTTAAAGCCATCTAGCTCACAATGTGATCATTGTGTTTTGAGATTCTTGCAAACGTGGTGTTAGATTATTTATTACTTGTGTTTACAGTAATAACAATACTTGTGTTTACATTGCTAAAGGTGCTAACACAAACATTAGATGGTGCACAGCTTGCAACAAGAACAAACAGTAATAAACAAATGGAAAGAGGCCAAACCAGGACTGCAAAAAATGCGAATTATTCAAATGCAAACATGTCACCTTCTTTAACAAATTTTCACTTCAAACTCACCAGAATTACTTAATAACATTAATATCTTATGAAATACGGCAGATTTGAGCTCAGAAATTATCTAATTTACTTCTTTTATTGAAAACAAAATTATACGTTTGAAAATATCGCCTCGCAGAATAAGCAGTTACAAACTTTCTAACCGAAACTAGAGCAGGTGCTGAGCTCCACATTGTTATTGTTTATATTTATATTGAAAACACCATCCGTAAAGAAGAATGTATGTGTAATATTTAATAACTGAATTTGATCTTAAGCAATTTTTAAATCTCCCTTTTATACTATTTTATGTGTATATTTCCAAAAATGTATATTTTATGTCTATATTCCAAAATATCTCTAAATCAGACGAATTGCTTTTGTTTTACACAACAAAAACGCATGTTTACTTACATTCTACTAATAAATGTTATTAAAAATGTGTTGTGTTAATATCTGAAGCAGATATTCAACTTTTAACATGAAAGGTATTGTACTTTTGTTTCAAACTGTATATATTCGGCTAAAAAAACTAAACAATAAACATCATTTATAAAAACAAAATATTTTTTATTTATTTATTTTTTTATCCTTTTGATTACAGGATGATAAATTAAAAGGCAAATAGATTCTACAAAATCACAGACTGAGACAAGACTTAGTCCAAGCCACATCCCCATGTAACCCCCTACGTAACTGAATAGTTCCACACTCTGTAAAAGACCAAAACAAAGATGATTAAGAAAAAAATTCAGAAGTGAAGGTGATTTTGTGTTTTTATCAACTGCTTACAGGATATCACTCCAATATGAAGTTTTAGAATCCTTATCAATAATAAAGACAGGTACATTTTTTTTTTTTTACAATGATGCAAATTAACTTATAAGCTTAAAAAATATTAACACGAATTTATTATTTAGGTTAATTGCAGTAAAAGTGGCATATTAAAGTTTACCCTTGCATATAAAGACAGTTATATTTTTTTATTAATGCAAATTAAAATTAGTTTAAAAATATTCTTAACAATAGTTCATTATTGAGTATAAGTGGCATTAATGCTAATTTATCAAGCAAAACTGAAATGTACTCTTAATAACTTAAATTGTGCTGTTAAGTATTAGAGATAATTTTCAGTTTTATCCTAGTACTAGTTTTGTATATACTATCCTAGTACTACAGAGATGCCAACTTGCTCTGGACAGCAAGCATATATTTTAAAGTAGTAGTTTATCAATTGTGATTCTTGGTTTAATAAATTTAATTTAGTAGATTTTTATCTCTAAATAATTCGTAGGCTTATATAATTCACCACTTTATAGTACTTTTGTCATGCTATACAATTTAAAAAACAAGCAAAAATAGTCAAATATTGGCAAAATTTACTTTGTTGTCATTTACCGTTTTTTTTTAAAAAATTAATTTGGAGTGTCCGAAGCAATTGGCATCTCTGGTACTAATACCTTATATACTAGTTTTGTCGCACTTTTATACAGAACAAATTACAGTATGTTCTTCCACTTCCATTGGGGTTATACTTTAAAAATAGCATTATTTTTTACTCTTTTTATATTAACTAAACTTCCTTTGTCAGTTTTCTGTATTTATATAAGAGACTTAAGGTACAAAGTATAAAAATTTTTGTGAATATTAATTAAAAAATTTTTAAATGTATTTAAATAAGCAATAGTATTCCCAAAACTGCGTTTTGTTTTATATAAATTTTAGTCACATTCTAGAAGAAATATAACATGAAATGATTTTACAATCTTTGGTAGGAATTGCAAATTCTGAATGTGAAAAATATTTTACGTCAGTTTTTTTTTATGAAACTTTTAATTCAATTTTCTCATGTAAACATGTTTAAAAATTCATTTCATGTAATATTAAACTCTAAATCTTAATTGTGAAAAAAGATTGTTGCATTTCAATTACTTTATCTTTTTTTACTTGGGATATTTTGCATATCTGTAACGGAAATGAAGCATCAAAAGTAGGCATTAAGAATAAAGTTCATTTTCAAATTTCACTGTCCCCTTTTAACAATTCTTATGTATACTTAATACATATGTACGCAATATATATGTATATTTTTTCTTTGGTAAGGATTCTAAAACTATTTTATATAACCATTATATTCTTGGTGTACATGCAGCGAGGTGCACATTAAATCTGTCTTGACTGAAAGTCCTCTCGATTGTTGTGGTGTAGAAATTTAGATAAGAGAAATACCAGTTCTGGTCCTGTCCACTTAATGTAACCGCGGTCAAAATTACATGACTTTCCTGTCGTGACTGTTGAGAGAATAGATAGATACATCACGATTCCTATTTGTGCAATTTAAGATTGTGTTTCGCATTTTTTTTATTTTATATCAACTATTGTTTTTTGTATTCATTCGATTTAAAACCCACTATTATAATTAATGTTCAAATGACTCACTGAATGTACAACGGAATTCGTATTCAAGCAGTTTTAAAAAGAAGCATCCAGATTCATATTAACGCTATAAAAAATTAAAATTTGTTTTCTTGTGGTTTTAAAAACATGCCTTAAAATTCATAATCATACAATTTAAATAAACAAATTAAAATCTTGCATTGATATATTTATTCAAATTGTGATAACTTTTTTTTGTATAAATGCTTTTTACATGCACTTTTCCTTTGCTTATATTTCAGGTATTTTTTTTTTATTTTTTATTATTTAAAAATTGTTTTTTCACATAACGTTTTTGAATTTCTATTATCAGCTTTTTTACAAAACTCATCCTTGTGGTATGAATCAATATTTTTCAAAATAATTATGCCAAAAATGAGGTGGCGACAAAGAGTTAAAACTAGTTACAATAGGTTATGAATGCATGCCAAAAGTTTTTTGAGATTTTGTGTTCGCAGAAATATGAAGATGAAAAGTAGTGTTGAGTGATTTTAGTAGAAGAAAACTTGTGATTTGAATTCCAACTGAGTATAGTGAGAGAAGATTGGTTAGTGTATTATTTTAGACATATCTTTCTTGTTCTTTAAGTCAAAGTTTAAAGGTTTATTTAGTTTGTCCAATATACTAAATACCACATTGACACAAATTCGATAAATAGCCAAGCTATTAATGCATAGTATGGGGCAGGGATGGGCAAACTATGGCCCACAAGACAGCATCTTAAAAACCCTATTGCTGATATTAATAGCTGGGGTATTTATCAAATTTTGTGCCAATGTGGTCTTGTGTATATTGGACAAACTAAATGAATCCTGAAACTTTGACTTATGAACAGAAAAGATACATCCGAAATCAGGATATTAACCGATCTTGCTGTACACAGTTAGAATTCAATCACAGGTCAAACTATATTATATAAATTTATGAACTTTCGTTTGTGCTTGCTTCATTCATGTTTTTTGCAAAACATTTGATGTAATACTGCTCCAAAGCATCCAATATTACTTCACGTTGGTTTAAAAAAAAGGTTATTTTTGACAATCATATTTCTATAGCTATTTATACACCTTCATGTCCACTAAGATCCTCTGTATTTATAGTGTGTGAAAAAAAAGTCAGAATACTTTAATAATTTTTATTTAATAATCAGATTATCTCAGTCTAAAATACATTCTTAATCTTTCGAAAGTCTTACCTTAAATATGCTAATTGGTTGGCCTAGACGATATTTTAAGTTATAACAGATCTGATTAAGCATGCATTTTTCCTCGACAGATTTTAATTCTTGACCCTCAACATAGGAGTATTCTAAAAATAATCCTAATAATTGTTTTGGAGATCGATTGAAATTTTGAGTATTCGCCATATCTCTCTGGAATTGCTATTTAGAATTTAAAACTTTTTGAACACATTTACAAAATTCACTTATCGAAATATAAAAATGAAATATAATTCAAATATGATTCCAATAATATTTGGATTAGTTTTAACTGGCAAAATCGAAGAATTTGAATGGAATCAATTTAATAGTTTTACAGAAAAAAGGAGTAAAATGCATAATTTTTTTGGAAAAACTTCATTACCAGAAACTGCTCAATTTTGCTAAAAATAAACTACAATTTATAGTTTAATCATTTAAAATTGTGCTCAAAATGTAAAAATTTTTAGACTTTAAAGTTCAAAAAAATTTTTGACTATTTAAAAGAATTACATTTTTCATAAAAATATTTTAAGCTTAACACGTTGAAACATTCGAAATATATGGCAAAGTAACCAAAAATTGTAATTGAGGGAACCAAATTTTGCAGCTACCCCCATTTGTTTTGACAGTCATCCAAATCTAATAAAAATGAGAAAAGCATGTTAATTCAGTGAAAATACATTTTATAATTTTAAATATCTGCTCAAATTAATTTAGTTAGCATTTTATACATTCAAACCATTAAGATAGCATTTTATGGTTTTAAGTAATAAGTACATGATAATTGGTTCTGTAGATGAAAAGTTATTAAATGTTCTGTTATATTTTATCCATCATAGCAATAAACGGCAACTTTGATTAGGAGTTATAGCCTTTTTCAAAAAAGCCACAAACAGCAATAAATATAGCTCTTACGTCAATTGACAATAACTTAATAAGCAGAATATCATTCATTTTGTTTCAAAGCTCCACTGACAAAGTCAGTATAGCAAGTTATATGTAAAATCACTGGTCTGTCCAGGCTGAATTTACTACCGTTTAGCGTTACCTTCCCAAATTCAATTTTAGGTAAAACGGTAGTTTCACAAAATACTTTTTTTTTTTTTTTAAATTTTTGTATCCTTTAAGAAACGATAAATCCATATTTTTAAATATAATTTTTAATTTTTCACAAATTATGTCTAAATTTTCACAAAATAGCTACCTGTCAGAAAAACCTAGACAGATCCCTGATGATATTTTCAAATCTTAAAAGAAATAGTACTTTTGCATAGATTCTCTACAAATGTTAAAATTAAATTGTTGCAAATTTTTAACTTTTCCTGTTGAAAAATAATTTATTATTTTTCATTCTACTAACATTTTTACTTTTTTAATAAATCCAGGAACTGCACATATTTTGGGTGAAATTTAAAGATGCAAAAGATTTCATTCTTTTAATATTTGAATGAGTTGAGTAATTGATACTGTGTTTTGCATCCAAAGCGTAGATAATAATAATATCTGTAGCTGGAGATGATGAGAGGTTATTATTAATAAATTAGCTTGTTTAAAAAAAAAAACTATATGCATAGTTATAGATTTCATTCAAATAACTTACTTTGTATTGAGGTTGGTATATATGGCTTGTAAGTCGAAATTTACGAAAGGAAACTCTAAGATAGATATGACTTGTCCTAAAAATAAAAAAAAAGTTAAGGTTATGGAACAGAGAACAGATAGGTATGTTAATATTGTTGTAAATGTGACTAAATTTTTTTTTCAGATAGAATTTACTTTTTTGTTTCTTTCAAATTGTTTTGTTGAAGATACTATGGTTATTTACTTATAATGTAAAAATAAAATATGCAATAAAAATAGCATTGCAGTTGAATATTATTTAAAGATACTCTAAGATGGGTATGACTTATCCTAAGAAACTTATAAGAGATAAGTGACATTTATAACAGCATTTAATACACCTAAGTTTTTTTTTTTTTCCCCAATGGTTTGTAAAGTTTGTTTAGAACAATTTATGGAACTAAGTTGTATAGAATAATTCATAGAATATAAAAATAGAGTACTTACATTATTTCTTTTTCAGTTTTTTTTTTAAAAGTAGACTACTATGTACAGCTAATACCTTTTGACGTCATGTGACATATCAAAGTTTGGTATATAGTTTAACTAAGATGGCTATGGCGTTGCTATTTACAAGGGTGCCTCTCTTCAGTCTTGAGAAAAAATCAATTAACTAAATTTCATGAATTAATATCCTTTTTTTCTTAAAAATATAGTAAATATTTTCTGTTAAAAATAAAATAATACATTTTAAAGAAAACATTGTTATTTTTCATATTTGTTGCAAAATAATCAAGTAATGATATCCCACCAAAATGAAAAAATGGGATTGATGCTTCTATTACACAAGTATTCAATAACATAAAAGTTATGCAAAAAATGAGGTTCTATAAATAATGCTTCAGTGCTTGCTTGCTTAGACAAAATGTGTACTATTGTTGTGTCTAAATTTCCTTCGGTTTTCATTTTACCTCCAATATTTTGAAATGCTAACTAACGTTAAAATAAGGCTGAAGCAATATATAGAGATATGAATAGCATAATGAAAAAATTAGTAGTTTATTATTCAGTGATTGGTGTAAAAAAATTTATGGAGTTAGCTGTTATTTTTTATCTTGATTGCTGTAAAAAAATTTATTTATAAAATGAAAAAAGTTTTAGAAAAAAAATCAAATCCTTGATTTAATATATGTGCCATTATCATAGAAAGATACTTTTTCGAGTCAATAATCTATAAATTTCTGAAGATTCCGGTTACATACGTCGGATTGTGTTAATTGGTCAAAAAATAAGTTCAGTTTTAAAATATTTTAGAGTGGTACCCATGCTGTTAAATTCTCAGTGGTCATTCTTTCATGTATGTAAAAACAAAAATATTTTATATTTGTAGTGAAATATTTCTAAACCTTAGATTTTTCTATGATTTAAAAATATATAAATAGTAAAATAAACCTTTTTTTTTTAAAAAAAGATAACTAATGGAAAAAAGGTTTAATTTAAATTGAACAAAATGCAATTAAAAAGACTGGAAATTTTTAAAATCATTATTTCTGTACAATGATGGAACTTCCAGGTAACAAAAGAGGTTTTTTCATAAAATGAATATTTTAAAAAATGCCTGCAAATGTGTAATGATTTGTTATAAGTAATGCACCCTCAATCAATGCATTATTATTGAACTAAAAATCGCTTTATTTAATGTAAAAGAAAAATAATTAATTTTCGTCAAAAATGAAGAAGAAAATTTCATGTTGTAAATCAAATGAACATTTTGTTTGATAGTATTATGCAGTTTCAGGTTAAGATACTGGGGATATTGTTTTTATGGCAATAACATTTATAAATAGCATATGAATTATGTCGTTTAGAAAAATGTTATGCCATTAAAGATGTAATGTAATTAAGTACTAATGCAAAGCTTATATTAATAATTAAATTTACAAAAATATATGAACAATCAATAAAATTTAAACAATATTTTCAAACAATTCCATCATCTAAACTAGACAGAAAAATCTCATTTTAATTTTCAACTCAAAAGTAATTCAATTTAGAAATGCAGAGTTAATTTTATGTAGCAGAAATTAAACTTACTTGCAATATTCATCCTCAGAATTGCACTGAAATAGATATTTTAAAAAATTTATAAAATTGTATTACAATTTTAATGTGCAAAAAATTTTTGATGCTAATTTTTAATAGGTAGTTAATTATTAATTAAATTTAATTTAATCTACAATATTTTAAGTAAAAATGGTAATAACCATTACATGCTCCTTCAAGCGTTTTTCACTTGTTTGTTTAATTTTAAATGAATAGATTTAAATCTTAAATTTTTTTGTTCAGGTTTCTTCTACGGAGCTTGAGTAGTTTTAGTGGAATGCATAAAAATTTATACAGCTATAGAAAACTTTAAAAAAATACATAATCTGCTTTTTCCCCTTTTGAAATTTCACAGTCATTAATCATTTCTGATATTTTTTTCTGTATTTGACCAGGCTAGCGGGAATGCTCTTCAGCTCAACGTTTCTCAAAAACAGAACATTAATCAGTTTATTTATCATTAGTTTTTTTTTTTATCTAATGTTTAACGTATTATCCTTCAAGTGTGATTATGGAAATAGTTATCTTGAAATTTTTTTACAAATATGTACAGTACAGTACCCGTTATCCGGAAATCAGAAAACCAAAGAACCGGAACGAAATTCGATAAATTTTCCCGCCATTTTTTTTTAAAAAAAACCTTTTTTTCCTCATAAGATTATTTCCAAATATTTTTTTTTTAGTTGGGTTTAACAATAAAAAATACGGCTTTTTGTAGCGATTCAGAAAACCGGAAAAATCAGTTATCCCGAATAGCGATGGTCCCGATCGTTCCGGATAATCGGTTCCCTACTGTACAATCAAACCTCAATATCACAAAAATCACAAATTTTCTAAAATTTCAAAAAGAATTTTTAATCATGTTAGAAAATCCCAAGCTGCCAACAATTATAATTTATCCAGAATTATTACGATTTTGTAATCAAGATTGAAGTGTTACGGTTAAATAATAAAAATTATAGTTTTTGAGAATTTTCGTAATAATTAATTAAAAGGAAGGTTATTTGGCTAACAGGAGTTATGAAATTTTGTTGTTTTAGCAGCAAATATTTGGGGGAAAAAGTATCACTTTTTTTAATAGTAAATCCATAATATTGTTAATATTAGAATGTATCTATATAGAATTAAGTCGTGAAAATACCTTAAAATTGTGCTAATTTGAATTTTGTTAACATTATTCGTATTATTGCACTTCTGATTACTGATAGCTCGTTTGCAAAGTTGGAACCTGTGTAACTCACTTATTGTGTTTTCTTTTGAGTTCAGGATATCAAGGTCTGACTGTATTAATTATATTAAGTCAACAATGTATGCTTTTAACGTCTATGTATATTATTAATTGTAATCTTACCGGATCGTCATCTGGTTCAATTTCATCATACTTAACTTCATAGGTCTGCTCCCTAATTATAAAATAAGGTAACATGAAAATAATATATAAATGATTGTTTTTATTAATACGAAAAATAATAAGTTTGGAAGTAAAAATACCTTTAAAATTATAATCTTATCTCAAAAATTATTTTTAAATGTTTATTTTATATAACTAGCACTTTGCCTAACATTGAGTATATTTGAACCAAATAGAACTTTTTAGTGCTTAAGTAATTTCATATTAGTGGTTGTATGAAATGTAAAAGCTAATTTTAATTAATAAATCTTTTTATATTATTTCTTTGCCTAAAATCTTTTTTTATGCATTACTCAAAACGAAGCACTTTCTCACAGTTAATAATTCTCATCCTATATTAATGACGATTAAACAAAGCAGAGCTAACAATTTTGTTTTTCCCTTTACCAAACATGAGAAACTGAGTAATCCTTCAACCTATTATATTTATTAATGTTTCCCTTTTTGCATGTGATGTAAAAGATATGGGTAAAAACTTGTGAAACGTTCTCTTGACAAATAGTATAACACAGAGATTTTAGTGTGATTTTCTGCATTCCTTGTTTAATCTATGAGCACCATGTCAAACAACATTTTATATATGTCTAAAGTCGTTTCCGAGATGAAGGATAAAAGCAGGTCTTAGGCTTGAAAAGAGGACACAATATTTAACTAATAATTATTAGAGAGAGAACTATCATCCAATTGATACAAAATCGAAGTGCTATTCAGTAGAAGCTAATAAATCCATGAATTGTTCCGTTTCAAGGAATAAGAGAAATCTTAATAATTATGATTGGTCTATTAAATAGTTCGAGGTAAAAAGTCTTTCTCACGAATAAGTAAAGGGAAAAAAATTAATTAATAACTTGAAGCCAAAAAATAGATTAAAAGACAGTATGTTTCGAATAAATAAATTTAGATAGATTTACTGAAAAGGAATAATATAAAAAGATTAGTTGAAGCTTTTTAATGTTATTTATGTACACACACACATGTGAATGCTAATTACGTTTTGTGAAGCACTTGTTAAGAGACCATAATTTCTGGAAGCAAATGCTAATATTTTAGCAAAGAAGCAAACTTTTTAATTCTAATGTTTAAGAATTTGTAAAGTTGAGCTTATTTTTAAATTATTTTTTATTCTATGTAGATGATTAAATACTTGTCTCGTATAGTTATTTTACTAACTATAATTAAAAGAAAAAGCACACTAACATAATTTGTGAATCAAAAGAAACAAACATTTTGGATGGATTTGGTCAAAAAGTTTTGGATGAATTTACTGACATGCTTTAAATTTTAGCTACTGGCTGGTTGTAGCATTTTTAATAGTGGCCATTTTTTTCAAAATTTTAAATAAATTTTATTTATTTTGAAAACATTTTTCAAAATATGGTTAACTCTAGAAAGCTTATTTCTAAAATGAAAATATGTAAACATAACGTAAAGTCGTTTTCAGAAATATTATAAAATTTTTGTAATAGTTCCTTATTTAGTAAAAAAAAGAATAATAATAAAATGGACGTGACGTGCATTTTCAACGGACAAAGTAGTTTTAATTGCCATTAATAATATTTAGCTACGCTATGGTCAGTAGAGATAATAAATTTTGTTCTTTAACACTTACTGACATGCTGGCTGACATTCCATTCCGCAATCTTTGACAATATCAGAATTCGTTTTTTCAATACCTATGGAATTAGATTAATTTTCTTAGCAAGAAATATATGTTTTTGTTTTATTAACTTTATATGTGTACTAGATAAATCAAAATAAATGTTAGACGTACCAAATGCACAAAGCTCTTCTTGATGTGGGGAGTAAGAAATATATTCATCAATACAATCATTTTTTGCTTTCAACTTATTCAGTTTACAGTGTTCTATGCAAGTCTGAAATAATAAAACGAAACGAATTTAATTTTTATGAAGTTACAGTATACATGGGTGCCACTCTTTTGTCCTGAGGACTGAAATTAGTCTTGAGAAAGGATCCACATACCTGCCAACTTTTAATCCCTCCCATTATCATTTTTCCCAGTGGTATTAAAATGGAATTAAAACTTCAATTTTAAGCAAACAAATACGTTGTATTTGAGAAAACTTAAGCTGTCGATCATGGTAGTAACGCATATTAATATATGTGTTTAATTTTTGTAAGAATAGTGGTGATCAAAATCATCTAAAAATTAAATTTTTTAAAGAAAAAATAGTATATACATACTACCACTTTAAATATGAAAATAAAATCTTCCGGAAAATCCGGAAGAGTTAGCAGGTATGGATCCAATTGATTAAATTCAGTCCTCCTTTCAATATATATATTTCCATTTTGTTTTTTAAATTAAGTTTTCAAAAAAAAATTTTTTTTTTCCTTATGAAAGTCTTAAAAAAAATCAGTTAAAATAAATAAAAATAATTACTCATTTTTTAAAAAAAAATTTATATTGAGGATTCTGTCCCGAGGACTGAAATTAGTCTTGAGAAAGGGTCCAGTTTATTAAATTAAGTTTTCAACAAAAAAAATTTTTTCCTTATGAAAGTCTTAAAAAAATTCAGTTAAAATAAATAAAAATAATTACTTATTTTTTAAAAAAAAAAAAAAATTTATATTGAGGATTCTGTCCTGAGGACTGAAATTAGTCTTGAGAAAGGGTCCAGTTGATTAAATTCAGTCCTCCTTTCAATATATATTTCCATTTTGTTTTTTAAATTAAGTTTTCAACAAAAAATTTTTTCCCTTATGAAAGTCTTAAAAAAATTTCAGTTAAAATAAATTAAAATAATTTTATATTGAGGATTCTTTCCTGAGGACTGAAATTAGTCTTGAGAAAGGGTCCAGTTTATTAAATTCAGTCCTTATTTCAATATATATTTCCATTTTGTTTTTTAAATTAAGTTTTCAAAAAAAAAATGTTTTTTTTCCTTATGAAAGTCTTAAAAAAAATTTCAGTTAAAATAAATAAAAATAATTACTTTTTTTTTTAGAAAAAAACATTGTTATTCTTATATTGAGGATTATTGACTAAACTTGTGTAAATAAAATTTGTATTGTTAAATCAGAATCTGCTAAAGTTTTAATTGTTTTTCTGGACATTTTGAAATGCTGGACAAAATTAAAATTAATTTCTAAAAAATGATTTTGGAGAAGACATTAATGATACTATGAAAAAAAAATTTTTGACCAAAAAAAATCTTAAGATTTCCATGCAGGCCATATTTACGTGTATTATACTGACGTCTGTGGAAACTTAGAAACACTACTAAGTATTAATTTTCTGTAAAAATATGTTTGAATATATTACCTCAACCTCTTAAATTAGTCTTTATATGTTTGCAATTGAAATAAGTTCAATACTTTGCTAACTCTTAGAATTAGTAAAAATTACATTTTAACTTGTTTTTTCGCTCTTTTGCCAAGTAAAATGAAAAAGCCACAGTTTAAGTGTCATAGACTTGAAGCAAATCTATAATTTTAAACTACCATCTTGCTGTGCAAAATTAAATGTGCTTTAGAATGGACAAATAACTGAAATATTTTAAATTGTATTAAACTTTTTTTTTTTTTTAGAAAATCAACATTTAGGTGACATTTTTCCACCTAGAAGAAAATTATCTAAACCATTGTCTTATTCTCATTTTTTTTTTTTTAAATTTTTTTTACGAGACCACAAATGCTTTTTATTTTCTCAAAACAGCCCCTTTTTTTTCCATATTGACATTTTGCGCCATCTTCAAAATAGAAATAAAGGGTTGCTGGTCAAATATAGGCTAAACTTGACCTAGCAGTCATGAGTAACTGTTGCAAAGTGACAGCAATTATGAAAATAGCATATTTTTTGTAAGAAAAAAAGAAACATTTTATGCAATGATAGTCTCATAAAACAGCCTTAAAGTGAGCAAATTTTGTTATACAGTCAAACCCCGCTATAGTGAACCTTCAAGGGACCGAAATTTCGGTTCACTATAACCGGGAGTTCACTATATCCGTTACGCAGGCAATTTCACTAATGGTTCCCAAACTCCTCCCTTTTATTACACATTATATTCATATAAATGACTGAAAAATATTATGCAGTAACAAAAAATGTGCTATTTTTCATCACTCTTCGTCTTGCGTGCAGAAAAAAAATTTAGTACTTTTTAGCTGATGAGCAATCCTCAACATCAGATATGGAAACACTTCCCGACTCTCAGATAATTTTTCCTGAATTTCTGTTATTCCACTTTCTAAACCTGTCTAACCTGCCATTCGAGCGCATAAAAGTAGTTTCTATAGATGGTTTTAAAAATCGGTATATGTATTTATTTTGAAGTAGAAATTTCAAAATTATTACAAAGAAAACGGGAGGGGGGGAATTAGTCGAAGACAGAAAAAAGTTCATTATATCCAACTTCCTCACTTTTTTGGTTCACTATATCCACTAAAAATAACATTGTACGTGTATAGCAAGACACGGGACCGAGCATTTCGTTCATTATATCCGGGAGTTCACTATAGCGGGGTTTGACTGTAATTTACCCACCTACGAGAAAGTAAAAAATAATTTGCTAATTCCTTTCTTTCCCCTGTTTTTTGATATGTTATTTTTCATCAGTCACGATTGTAAGTTTAACATGTTGGAGGCATGATGAATAATTTTTTCCCCTCTTATTTTACCAATTAATTAACAGTAAGAGTGGTTATTGTACTGACTGCTTTGTAGATTTTGAATTGTGAAACTCATATTTTTTTGCTGAAACAACTAATCTAATGATCCCAATTTTTTAAACTTTTTTTCATTTTTTAAATTTTACTAGTGGTGTCAGTCACAAAGGCTAAAAGTTTTCTTCTTTTTTTTTCAGATTTAATGTAATTGATGGACTATAAAAAGCATGGTTTATTGTCTATTTTTTTTATCCGTTACTCATTCATTATAAGATAATAGTTTAGATCTATTTTTGCCCCAATTGATTGCACAATAGCAGTTGTGTGAGTGTGAGAATCCAACTTAAATTTCAAAATTTGTATTTATACGCTTAAAATAACAACAAAACAAAAAAATGAAGAAAAAAAGTTCCCAGTAATTTTGTAAGCTAAGATTTCAGCTTAATTTGAAAAATGTAATATTCCAAAAAGTAAAGTTATTGAAATTTGCATTAACTTCCCCCCCCCCAAATCTACCTGTTAACAACTTCAGAAAAACTAATTTTGCATTAATGCGACGAAAGCAATATGCACCACCACGAAAATTCAACAAAAAAAAATTTTTTTCCCATAAATGTTCTGAATTCAGAGTATTTTCGAATTGTTTAATAAAAAGTGAAGATATTCTGTGATTGAATTAATTTCAGGTTGTCGAGTTTTACTCAAGATTTGAATGGCTTTTAACTTCAATTCCTGCATAGTGGAAACAATTTATACAAATCGCAAAAACTATATAAAATGGTAAAAATGTATGCAAAAATCAATTTTCAGATGAAAATTTAAAAATTATCACATTGAATAAAAAGTTTGAAGTTTTTACCATCTCGTCAAGAGGTCCTGTTCCATTGTTTTCTCTCCATAATTTAATATAGTCTGTACAATTAGTGTTGTATGGATACGGAAGTCTTATTATTTCAGTCTACAAAAAGAAAGTACTTTTAGTAATCTATGGTTAATATACAGGATAACCCGTGTGTAAAAGGAATTTTACACACAGTAGAATTCCTTCTACACACAAAATTTGTAATTCTTCTCTACCCCTGTGTAAAAGGAAATTCTACCTCATTCCTTTTTTTTTTTCTTTTTAGAACGCAGTAATTTATGCTCAGTAAGAGTAAATGCAGTAAGTTGTTATCACAATTATGATAAATAATTTTCAATAAAGATGAGATTTTAAACATTATAATATATTCGATTGTTAAAAAAAAAAGGTGAAAAGCGTTTAATATAGAGATTTTTTTAAGTTTAGTCTCATCAGGTTATTAAACTGGTTTCAGATAATTTTTTTTAAATCATACGTCAAGTTTTGATAACGTTCTTATTTTTTCGTTATTAACAATCGAGCTTCTATTTTTGCGCAAATGATGTACAAGCAAGAAAAAATAAGAACGTTATCAAAACTTGACGTATGATTTTAAAAAAAAGGCGAGCTTTTTTTTTTTAACACAAAAACAGTGTCATCGTGTATTTCTCCTCATAAAGAATATGCGTTTTATTTATTTTTTCAAATTTGAAACTATCTAGCATCCTTCATTAAATTCATTTTTGTTTAGCCCAGATTATGACGTTTGTAAAAAGTATTTTTTCAGATTTTAAATATGCTTAAAAAATGCACCAAAACGTTAAATTAAAAACTTAGTTCCTATCTATAATCGTTACTGGAACGATTCATTTTTTAAATGAAATTCTATTTGAGCGTTCTAAGGTGTAATCATCACAAACAAGTTTTCAAACTTTGAATTATTTCTGTTAAAGAATCCAAATTAAAATGACCTTGTTTCAACCTTTGCTCAAAGGTTTTTTTATATTTTAACCCCCCTTCACTCAATAATAATTTGTAATTTTTCATGTTTCAACAGGGCATTTGTTTAAATATTGTTTTGCAATCACTAATGTATTTACAATTTTATTTAATTTTTTGGTAAAAATTCTAAGAAGTCATTAATTGGCTTTTAAATCGGACCACCTTATGTTTCTTCAAAAGCGGCTGTTTATGAAAATGATGATTTCATCTGTATATTTGAATAACAAATAATTGCAGAGTGTTTACTGATCATCGATTTTAGACCGTAATCATGATCAACTACTATAAGAAACTCGCGTAATTACAAACATAGTAATTTTAACTTCTTTTATGATTACAATTGCATCCATTTTAAAATTGCATCCGCATTTAAAATACTATGGATGGTGTTTTCAATAGAAATGTAAACAATCTCGAGCTCGGCACCTACTCTAGTTCCGGTTAAAAAGTTTGCAGCTGCTTACTACATGTTATTGATAGGCGATGTTTTCAAACGGATAATTTTGTTTTCAATAAAAGAAATAAATTAGATAATTTCTGAGCTCAAATCTGCCGTCTTTCATAAGATATTAATGTTATTATGTAATTCTGGGGAGTTTGGAGTGAAAATGTGTTTTAGTTATTTTGTTATTTATTATTAAAAAAGGTGACATGGTTGCTAGATTTTGAATAACTCGCTTTTGTGGCAGTCTTGATTTGGCCTCTTTCCATTTGTTTATTACTGTTTGTTCGTGTTGCAAGCTGTGCACCATCTTACGTTAGTGTTAACACTTTTAGTATTGTAAACACAAGTATTGTTAGCATTGTAAACATAAGTAATAAGTAATCAAATACATTGTTTGCAAGAATCTCAAAACACAATGATGCCAAATGGCTTTAAAATACAACTGAAACAGTAACCCGGAAATTTAGGCAGTCCCAAGCTTGCAGCGTTCCCTAATGTAGAAAACACCATCCATTATTTTTGTTATTTTTTGCGACATAAAACTATATAGTGTGGTTTATTGAGGAAAATATAAATAAATGTCATTAAATATACAACTTAGACATTACAATGATTACCTATTATCAAAGAACTAAGAATCGATTTAGAAATTCAGAGGCTGTATGCCAAATTGCCAGGGTACTTATTGCCACTCCGAGTAATCTTGGACCAAATACATTTTTTGTTTAAGTATGCAAAATGTTTTTTAATAATTTATGACATAAGAGAATTCAAGTTTATTTAAATAATTTCTCATAAATTATCGATGATTTTTAAAAAGAAGAGACATTTTCCAATAGCCTAGGTCCGGGTCTCTAAGGCCTTAAAAAGACGCTATAGCACGGGAGAAACCCTTCATGTCTAATTTTATTTCAGCTACAGAAATAATTTTAAGTATGTATGGTTGACCGTGTAAAACTGATGGCGCTAGGGGCTTAAATTCGTCGTACGACTTCTGATTGATTTTTACGCCTAAGCTTGGAAAATCGTGCCATTTAATATTAGTATACTTGTAGTGTTCACAATATTACGCGTTCTTTGAATATAGCCTTCAACGAAACAAAATTTAGAAGACCCTAGAAGCATGCTACCCAAAAAACAACTGCCGGCAATATTTTACATGATTACAGCCAAATAAGGGATTACACTCCAAACGTAGCAAACCTTATTCTTTATTTATATTGCAATATTAATTTTCATAAATTTGTTTTAGGCTGACGGTCACTTAGAATTTATAAATTACAAAAAATTCTTATAAATGGTAAACTTTTGCTCAAATTTATACAAAAATCACTATAATAAAGCTTGTCCACACATTGCGTTAAGCATAACATAAGCGGAGGGATGCACCGGAAATTTTCTAAATTTCTTCCAGTTTTAGAAAGCTTGTTATTTTACACATTCAATCAACCATCCATCATAGAAAAAGTGACCAAGTAAATCACAAAGTTTCAAATTCTAAAAAAAAAATGTTTTTTTTTTGTTTTTTTTTTAAATAATATTAAATGGCAAACAAATTATGTTTCTATTTTGTATTTTTTAAATTATGTTTCTATTTTTATTCTAGGTTTACCAGCACTAGCTTTTCTCATAACTTAATATTTTAAAATACTAATGGAGGCAAAACAGAAACAAAACATGTTAAGTCTCTCCCAAAGTTAATCTCCAAACACGGCCCAACCGCCAGACAACGCACTTAAAACACTACAACATCGCGATAGAACAGAAAAAGAACCACCCTTTAATACAAAAATAATAAAAATGAATTTACAAAAGCAATGACTTTAGGGTAAGATGATCAGATATACATATAAACCACAATTTGAGGACGAATAAACGGAAAGTCCTTGAATAACATAACTATTCAAAACATTCGTATGTTTATGGAAAATATTAATCTTTGTGGGCAACCAAGATTTTTTTTATAAGATAACTAATATCAGGTACAGAAACTTCTGCACCAAACTTATTACTAAGCAGTTTTGAAATATTCTGCATCTGAATACATGTAAAAGGAAGTAATACATTATTATAAAAATTTGTTAATATTATGCTTAAAATTATTTGAAGACAAGCATGGCATTTTTATCTGTAAGTTTTAGCTTAGTGCCTTTACGTTTGCATTCTCTGTAAGGCAACGTTATCTTGTTTAACAAAAATTTGCGTATTTCTGATTCTTTTTTTAACAACATATTTTATTGCATATAGAAAAGATTGTGTACTTTCGTAGAAATTTGAAGACACTTGTTAAATTTTGGTGAAATTTCAGCTTAGAAAAATCCTGAATGTTTTTGAGGATAACTAAAGAAATTCAAGGATAACTTAAAATTTAAGAACGTCTGATCACCCCTAGCTTAAGGTAAATCAGACACTGCATAGGACATACGTATACTTGATGTCGTTGATCATGATTAATTGCTATCACTATTCAAGCAATTGATTTCTAGTATAATTGATCATTTTAATAATTCATACTTTAAACAGCAGACTAGTTTTTTTAGAGAGTATTACAGAAAAAGATCTTACCATCGATACACATGACATGTATCTATAACCTTCATTTAGGATGAAGCCATCGACGAAATTTGAAGACACGTGAAATTTTCTGTTCTCAAAAAGTTTGATGGTTTTTGAGTACAACTAAAGAAATTCGAGGACAGGTCTCTAGATTTAAGAACGTCTGGTCACCCCTACCTTAGGGTAAATCAGACACTGCATAGAACATGCGATTACTTTAGTCGTTGATCATAATTACTTGCTAATCACTATTCGAGCAATTGATTTCTAGTGTAATTGATCATTTCAATAAATCATACGTTGAACAGCAAACTAGTTTTTTTAGAGAGTATTAAGTAAAAAGATCTTACCATCGATACATATGACATGTATCTATAACCTCCATTTAAGATGAAGCCATCCAGAAATGGATTGACCAGATGCTTGCGATCATGTATGACTGCATAGATGAAAACTGGCTCGGAATGTGAGAAATAATCTTCCGGGAAGGTGTTGAGTTCTACTGAAAAATCTGCAGCACGGAAATTTTTGAATAAATATTTAAGTTAAAACTTTTAGTAAAAGCATAAAAATGTACAGTGCGGGTGGGATAAAGTACATCTAGTGACTGATTGTTTACTTGCTGAGATGCAATCTTCATGTTATGAGGGATAAATCTAAATGTTTTAATAACTTATTGCCTACAATATTTTAAGTTACGAAATCATACTTTTTCTAAATTGGCCTATTTTTTGTAGAATTATTATTTTTTACAAACCTATTGTAAGTGTTAAAAGCAAACTGAAAATACATTCCTTATAACTAAGTTAGTAAGTTAATATTTTGAGTATTTCGCCGCTGTGGGCCACTGGGCAAATCAGGTGATGAAGTTTAATGCTCCTCAGTTTCGTGACCATCGACATGCTTATGGCAAAGCAGCAACGTAATATTGCCCACAACTGTGACACTACTTAAAGTGAATGAACGTTTGCTCACAATTATTATATGACAGATTATTTTTATTTGATTGATGATGTATTAAAACGATTAATCACTCTGGTATTAAAATATTCTAAAAACAAACTAATAACGATTGAGTGAAGGTGATAAATCTGTAATATCAAACTGAGAGTAAGTAATGACGTAGTATACACATGAGGAATAATTGATTAAATATTGAGAAACGAAATTGCTAATAATTAATGACGTACTATAAAGATGAGATCCTTCTGACATTAAAATATCTTAAACTGATAACACATAATGATGTAATATAAACATGATACATCCATCTAAAAATAAAAGGCTAAATAAATATCAGTTATCATTTCTTTTGTAGCTCTACAGCCTGTTGCAGGCCAAAGCTGTCCTTAAAAGTTTTTTCCATCAGAAATTAACAGTTTTTAAACTGTTGACCCCAATTCCATGCAACGTTTTCTCAACTCCACCAAGGTGATTGGACTATTTGTCTTCCTTTTTCCATCACATTTTTGAAATGTCACTTTTTTTGTTGGATTTAAATCATAGTATCTGTAAATATGCCCAAGCCATCTTAATTGATATACCTTTATAATTTTCGCAACATTTGGTTCTCTGAATTTGATATAAAATTCGTTATTACAGCGGATCTTCAATACTTTTATCTTTGACAGCACCAAATATTTTTCGTTCAAATATTAATCCCTTTTCACTTCATTTCTGAAAACTAAATAATAAATTATTAATCCCTCTGTCCACAACGCTCTGGCAGTTGAATTTAGTCACGAGAAAAGAATACATCATAGAATAACATTATAAAAAGAACATAGGATGATTTTTCTTTGTAATATGTGAGAGCCAGCATTGTTTTAGAACAGTCTTATTAAGTAATGGGGAATCTCTTAGATGCGCAATTGTAATCAGAACGATCAACGTTTTGGTAGTTTTTCAAAACCTTTGGCTCCGAAACCAAATATATAGCCATCGTGATGGCTATATCTGGCCTACTAAATTGCCTTTCTTGTACGAAGAAAAAATACTGAGAATCAATCTTCTAATGCCAACGGAATCGCATCCTGATTTCTGCAATCTTATTTCTATCGGTTGATTGTTTCTATTGCTTAATAGAAACAACCTATCGAAATGAGGTCATATAAATCAAAAACGCATTTTTATCAAAAATACGAATTCGCATTCAGAAAAAATCTACTTTATTTCTCCCATGCAACAGAGAAAAAATAGTGTACAATGATAAAATAGAGTAAAAATCTTCCTAATCAGAAAAGATTTTTACTCTATTTTATCATCGTACAAAATTCTTTTTGCCGCATAGAGGGAAAATAAAGTCGATCATTACTGGATATGGAATAAGTAGATTTGATTAAAAGGACTTTTGTATTACATTGACTGAAGGTGAGTCTTAATCTCTTCGAAAGGGGCAAATTAAAAGGTGGAAAAAACATCCATGTCTATTTATAGAATAAGTCAGATTATCGACTTGTATTTATTTATTTTAGCATGAAAACATTAAGCTAATTGAAAAAGGTTAGAAAGGGAAATTTCAAGTGTATTTTGAAGGTAGGCATCATAAGGATTGAGAATTGCATAGCTATATCATTATGCGCAGCCAGAGTCACCAACTTCTATTAAAGACTGTCTGCTCGTCCGCATTAAACCGGTACTTTTATTTATCTAAATTATTTTAGTTTTATGTTTTCTAATAATTCTTATCGAAGATGGTGGTAAAATATACCCAAAAATAGTTGTTTCTTCATAGTTTTCTGATTTGAAGACCAATGTGGTGAATTCGATAAATTGACCGCCAAATCATTAAATTCTCTATACTATGTGGAGTTGAAAAGCAAAGATTGCGCCTACTTAGTAAAAATGAATTCTATAAAAACTAATAATAACGTTTAACGAATTTTTATTTTCAAAAATTTTACAACAAATGAGCAACCACTAGCTACAATAAAGTCTTTCAATCGGCGATCGAGTGAACTTTGGAAGATTCCTGATATTTTTCTATCGTCTGCAGCCGCGATAATAATAAATCCTATCGGACAGCACTGTGCTCTGGAGTATTGCACCCCTAGCTTTTTAACTTAGTTTTTTCGTTAAACCATAAACTCAAGTGTAACTTTTAATTTCTCATTACTAATCTTACGGATACTCCCTTGGGAATATACCACCAAAGCTTTGACTCCTAACATAGCGAGCAGTAGGACAACAGTGTAAAATTAATTCTACTATTGCTTCTGTATTTCACTCATGCTGACCATTTATACTGCCATTATCTTAGCTGCCCACGGACTCTACTATAGATGAAAGTGTCATGTGACCGCTTCACGGGCAGGGAGTCTGTAATCAACTTCAGTCTAAATCTGCTTGAGAATTACCACTTCTGCAGGATTGTACGAACATCCCGCAGAAGCGGTATAAATGCATATGTTACGGCCAAAGCCCGAAGTCCGGTCACTTCGCGAATTGGCCGGCCATTTCGAACTTTGGCCAAACCTCTCTGTCAAAGTGCGATGTAATTGAAACGATCAGTGAATATTCTACTTTGGCCGGCCATTTCGCGATGTGCTCATTCAAGAATGCCCGGTAGGCGGCGCATTTGCAATTCGGGCGGGATCGTCCACGTGGCGACATTTGTCTGCTGCTTCTCGATTTTTCCACAGCAATTTCACTGTGAGGTGAGTGCTGTTTTCCTCGTATTTTTATAGTATTATCTCAATTAAAAAATAGACAAGTTTTTAAATTGAAATTTAATTTTATACTTTGTCTCAAATGGCCACATCTCACAGCTGTTAGCTGAAGTTATGGTTATAAGGAGCCAATAATACGTGCCATGTTTTTTTTTCTTCCAACTTTGGCTGATCTTCCCATGCCACTTCGCGATCTGGCCGGCCAATTCTCGAAATCAAGAAAAGATCGGACATTGGCCAGCCGATTTACAGCGTTCTTAGCCATTTCGCGATTTGGCCGTAACACATATAAGCTTTCACTGCATTTGAATATTGCTACTTATTAGCTACAAATAGCAATTGGACGACAGGTTTTGCAAAAGGCAATATTTCAGCCACTCCTGATTTCTTTGTAACTCCACACTTTAGAATTAAAGTTGTTTGTTTTGGCATATTACAATATGAGTTAAAACTCAATTGAAATATGGTGAAAGGAATACCATCTTAGATTAAAGCCGTTTCGGTACTATACAAGTATGGAACCAACATCTGTGACTCACCTATTTATACAGAATATATACATTGCTTTTTTACCTTGGTATACTCCTACACAAAGATAATCTCCCCTACCCCTCCTTTAATTTCAGACTTCTGTTTGTTTAAGGTTTGTTCTTTTATTACCTCTAGAACGGTGACTGGAATTTTGAAGACCTTTTGTATTACATGCAATTTTATTTCCGAACAAGATGATTCTGATTATTGGATTATCATACTCTTTACTAAAATATCGCTTAAATCGTTCATACTCAACTACATTTAAGTATTTTTTTATAATTAGGATTAATATTTGGTGTACTTTCCTAGTACAAGTCAAACACCTAATGTAAGTAATAAGGCTCTGTTCACTAGATTTAAATTTAAAATCAACCTGTGTATTTTAGTAAAAAGTTTAATTATAACATGAAAAAAGGGCTAGCAACAAAGCACTTCCGATTGTCAGTTCTTCCTAAAATTACCATTTTCTAAAATTAAAAAAAATTCTGCAATAAAATAAATTATTATTTGTTAGAGCTTCTAAAGTCAGTGGAGATCGTCATAATCTGTATAGTTGAAATGTAAGTTTAATAATTGGAATAAAATAATTTTGTTTTCTATTAGAAAAGTAGCTGCCTAAAATTCATGTACTGTTTATTTAACTTTTTTAGTGCCAATTGGATGCAATAAATTTGATTAGTTATATAGTCTCAACGTGTTTATTTTCTGATTTTAAGTGCCAAAAGACAATTAAAAGCGAAAGTTTTGAATCAATGCCGTTCCAGGCTGAAGCCTGGATTCAATTAAATCATTGTAGTACTTAAATCTTTCGTTCTCTACAACATGTAGCATGTAAATAACTGCTGCCAAACTAGCACTCTTTAGTGAAAAGCTAAACCAAAACCACCAATCCGGCGTCATCTTAAGTTTTCCTATTTGCAAATCATATTTCGTCTTTTCGAGTTCTACCTTTTTCCCTGGTGGAGTGTTGTGCATTTTGCTTAAGACTGGTAACTCTTTAATCAGCATTCTATTTCTTCCTATTTTCCCGTTATTCATGCTTTCACAGTTTGTTTGTTTATGTTTCCGCGATTAAAAAGATTCAGACTCTGAATCGAGTGTCTTGGTATTATTTATGACTTCAGTATCAACGCGATCTTTTTTTGCGCGATTTGTTGATCGCTGTTGCTTTTGTGATGGAGGCATTTCGGAATCCAAACAATCTGTGTTTCGATTGAGTATCTTGGTATTATTTATGACACCAGTATCAACGCGGTCTTCTTTTTTTGCGTGGTTTTTTGATTGCCGCTGCTTTTGTGATGAAGGCATTTTGGATACGCAGTAGACTGTGTCTTCCCTGTCGACATCAAAATTGGGACAACTTTGCGATTTCCTCAATGTCTTTTTGCCCCTTTTTATTTTAGGCTTAGAATTGCCCTTACTTTTTGTTTTCTCTTGTGATATCCCATGAAGTTTTGTAAGTTTCAGCAAACGCTTCTCAAATATATATCGTGTCGCCGGCGAAATAGGACCAACATTTTCTCCAAAATCATTAAAAGCTGTTCGCAATTCTTCATCTGTTAACAAAATTATTTTATCCATCTAGAAAAGTTGGAGCTGTACGGGTCAAAAAATTCCAAATTCATTTTTTTTTTAAATGGTAAACTAGCTGAGAAATGGAAGAAAATTTGTCTGCAAAAATTAGTGTTTAGAACAGCCTCACAAAGTTCCATGCTTTTCATTTAGAGTATTCACGTGACCGATTCTTTTATTGGTTCGCGCAAGTACATATTATTTATAGTCCATAAATTAAGAGTGAGATATGGCAACAGTCTTATGTACAAAACGATAGAATAAATAAGGAAGCTACATTAATGGAAATATAGAGCTATAAGCTAATGCAAAGAGCTCGTCGCACTCTTCTACAATCTAAATCAAAAAAAGAGATAGCTGAAAAATAATGGCACTGTCATATTGTAAAAAATAATTCCTCCTATTTAAATTTATGTTCAGTTGTCTTCGTCCTAAAATAAATTGCGCTCCTGTTTAAAAAACCTGTTGATATAATTAGTCGATAAATTATTATGTAGTGCGAGTTCAACTGCAAAACACTTATGCTAATTTTTACTCGATAGGGGTAAATATTAGAATATTTCTTGGCAAAAATATCTACTAAACTCTTCGGCGACACTGGTCACACTACGTCCCTCCTCAAACTTCCCAATCATTCTTCCTCGAGTAAAGTCGTCTAAATGATTTCTTGAAGACATGTTTCATAAAACAAATCACTTGCAGCGAATGTCTTTAACTACGGTGCTCTTCATCCTTTTATCATAGCTTTGACCTGCGCGCGCCGAGCCACAAGGTTTACTTACACTTACATCACCTACGACGTTTTATTTCTAAAATTTACATACAAATAATCTTTCTACTGAATTGCGTACATATTATACCGCAATTTCATGGCTATCTTATACTTCGTTGGGGAGCTGTGGCCGAAAAACCACTTGTTGCTTAAGTTTTGCACACCAGTGTACTTTCCTATCTAGGGACTATCTGAATTTATAAAATAAAATTTCCGATGAAAATCATATTCAAAATTGAATCGAATAAAACTCGAGTTGATAGGATGAGAGTTTTGAAGTTGTAAGGTTCATAAATAAATGCAATTCAAACCAACCAGCATTTTATACTAAAAGAAATCCTTTCGATTCTTGAAATATTAGCTCTTTTGATTAGTGTTTGGTTTGATTCAATTAAACGAGAAAAAATGCATACGAAACAATACCTCACTTGTCTGTTAAGCAATGTAAAAAGTGCAAATTAGTACAAGTACAAATCATGCTCTTTTTGTACATAGAGATGACTTCTAAACTAATAGTATGATCTCGTCTCGGGATTAATCGCATTCAATTCAGCTTATTCAAGAATTAATTAATCAGAATAATTAAATTATTCTGATTAATTAAAACTATATCAGAAACAATACTTTACGTATTCGGATAGTCCCATGATAATAATGTAAATAAGTACATGTCAAAAGGAGCAGTGGCGTACGCAAGGGAGGGGTTTTGGGGTCTAAACACCCCCCTTGAGCTCAGACAAAATTGCAAAAATAAAAATTTTAGTAGAAATTATGCGAGCTATTATTTTTTAAGACTATATATTTTTATTTACCTTATGCCTACTTTTTTTTCCTCCAGTTATTTCTCAGAATACTGAAAAAACATTTACTGTAACAGGGTTGTACTTTTAAGACCAAATTCACGTGATACTGTTACGGACTGGTTCCTTTCTGTCCTGCCAGTATAGTTTTCGAAACTGGTTGTCATTCGCGAGGTCTTTACGCAATTATTCTGGAATCCTAGACGTTCTGTCGTCTTTGAGACAATTCGAGAATTTTGGAGATGGAGTGAAAAATTATATAAAATGGGGAGCGGAGTACAGTGGAGTTAGTTAGTCAGACTAAGAGTTATCTCTGCCGTTTGTCTTTCGGAGCTCGTCGCTAAATCTGATTTGTTTTGTCTTAACAAAAAGTTCATTCAATCGCCGAACCCGTCGTCGTCGTTATTTCGACTAGTGAAGAAATCAGTAACAATACTATTGGAGATACTGAGCTCGTTGAAGTTATTCATTCCAGCTCGAAACTTTAAGATCGTAGCATAGCGGATATTTCTGTGCCAATATATATATATTTGCTGTTCTTGGATCTTTAGGATGTCTAAACGCAAGAATTTAACAATTTTTAATTATTTTGAGAAAAAATCATGACCTGAAATTAATGAGGTCACAGCATCTAGTACCAATGTAAGTTTTTCTGTTGTACAGAAATGTGATACTTCTGTTGAAGAAAACGTTTCTAGCATAACAAAATCTGATGAATGTGAAAGTGGCCCTCAAAGTGTTACTTCCCACCGTTATGACGGACTTTTTTCAGAAGATATTGCATTATGCTCTTAAACTTAAAAAATCAAATCAAAATTTAACTAAGCAATGTTGTCTAAATAAAAAGTCAAAATTGTCGAGCTGTCTAAATTAGGAAAGTAATAGTGCTTTATTACAGACTCGAATTTCTTTTAGTAGTTTCAGAAAATTATGAACACCCCCTTGAAAAAATTCTGCGTACGCCACTGAAAAGGAGTACTTTTTAAATATAAAAACTCTTGCTACTTCTGAACTATTCCATTCACTCATATAAAGTCTCATTCGATTTAGCGTAAAAAATTACATAGACATGGTGCGTAGCATTTTTTAAAGGTGCTTATTTTCGTTTTTTAAAAAGGCCTTAAAGGTGCTTTTTCCATTGGGTGTTTTTAAAAAGTGCTTAATTTTCCCTTTTCGAAATTTTTTTCTTTCTTCACCATCTTTATTTTCGCTGCGTATTATGCAAAAGCGTGGTTTTCACATTGTTCTACGCAACGTTTTCACAATTCATTCAACCACAATCTATTTCAGCGTACCGTCGATTCATAGCGTATGAAAGAGCCAATCATTTTACAGGTTTGGTGAAATACTTGCATGTGCGTAGAGTGAGCTGGATTTGGCGAGACTCTCGCTTGCAACTCTGCTGCATTTTGCAAGATATGTTCAGTTTCAAGCTTCACTTTCTACCCTCTGAAATCGAACTGAAAAATCCCTTGATCATTTTATAGTGGCTAATGAATAGAGTTCTTTGTCAAAAACTAGTCATTTTATCTTGATCATGTAATGTCTTTGAAAATTATTTTGCATTTTATTTACGAATATAATGCTTAAAAATATTTTTTGAGTACTTAAAAGGTGCTTATTTCTTGTTGAAAGATTCGGCTGCGCACCCTGATAGAAAACAAGTCCTCACTAGTTTAGATATCTATGCATAAGTACGTACAAATACAAATTTGTACATTTGGTATATGAAAAGTTTATAACTTCTAAACTATCGATCTCATCGTCTTATAATTGGTCCCATTTGATTAAGCTTAAAAATACATCAGAAACCATGTTTCACTTGCCTATAGAAATAAATGATTTAGAACTATCTCCCCATTTGTTCTCTAAAAAGGGTGAATCATTCAGGGAAGAGTTTTCAATCATTGTTTGCAATGACAACAAAACTTTCTATGAAATTGAATGTGTATTTCGCTTACAATTGTGCATTTCATCGTATCTTTAATGAATAAAAAATGATTATAGACTCGGCAAATGACAAAAAAAATCAGAAAAATGTAAAAGGATTACAGCAAGAATGTCCAGAACTTATACATCACAAGAAGTATACCAAACTGAGTTTTCTTTTTATTTTCACCCACGCGGAGTTTTTTCATAATCTCTATATATATTTCTCTTACACGGCGACAAGGAAAAAGCCTCATTACAACTCCCCGAATTCCAACGCTAGAAAATCGACCAATGATTGCCGCTAAAAATGTCACATGTAAAATCTAGTGAGGTGGCTCAACATATAGCGCTTTTAAAAACGGAAACTGAAATAACCAGCGAGAGCATTCTCACCAAATGTGATCTCTTCCGAAATTCACCCTATCAGGCAAAAGTGAGTAGTCTTTGTCGATAGATCTCTATTTTAGTATTTTGTCGAAAGCGCTTTTTCTCACGAATTTATATATTAAGAATTTATTTGACGATTTTTGATTTATATCTTGAATTTATTTGTTTTATTATTGTTATTAGTTATTCATTGAAAAATGAGTCTCAGTCGTACTGTTACGCTTTAAGATTTTATAGTATAGCACATTTCTAATAGGTTTAACGAATTACATGTCATTTATTTGAATTCAAATTTATTTTAATGACTTAGTATTTACTAAAAAGATGTAATTTTTTTTAAAAAAAAAATTTTTTATATAGATTTGAATGATTGTTTTGAATTCTTAGAATTTTGTGCATTTGCAATGTACCTAAGTTAGTAGAGAGCGAAGCGACCTTGGTTTGCAAAGCAAACCATATAAGATTGCGTAGCAATTTTCTGGGGTTGGCGAGCGTCAGCGAGCATTGGGCACAGCCCACTAGTTAAATTAAAAGGATTTTCAAGTTCTATCTGATTAAATTCTTCACGATTACTGCTGTTCTTATCAATAAAATATTTAATTATTTGTTGCTTCTTTATTCAACAAGATTATAAGCTATTATGCAATAGTGGCGGAATATTGTTATATAGTTGTACAGACAATGTTGGGTTTGGCGTGAGTACATACCATCGTTCGTCATGTAGTAAATAAAAATTAAAAATGTGAAATTAATGACGAAAAAACTTACAAAGAGTGTTGGGATAAATATCGTCTTTGGCATGTGGCTGTCCCAACAGGGAATCAATGGTGTAGCAGAAGGTAGCTTTTCTTTTCTTCGTCACAAAAGGAAATCTCCGAATGCTAAAAGAGAAACGTGAATAATTATATGAACAAGAGTATGAAGGAAGATAAAATAAAAAACTATTCTGTGTTGTTGCTTATCCTCATAGATCTGGCATTAGTCAGATCAAGTCCAAAAAGTTGTTGTCAGCCAGAAAGTCGATGACAAGAAGGGGATTGGAAGTTAAGTCCGACACAATCAAGTATGTGTTTCGGTGAGGCTGGATGGACACAGCATTTTTTACAAGTCGGGTAAATTTTTGTGCCAAGTTCGAATGTTAGACATTTTTAGGTGACCAATTGAGAATCTGGCCAAGGCAGTCTCGGAGCTTCGATCGCAATCGATTCCCAGATGGGTGCCAGGAGATGTTGCGGTGTACCATTGGTGCGTAGGTGGAGTTCACCAGATTTATTTTAGTCTATATTTTTCATTAGAGTAAAGTTCCTGATAAGTAAGTGATGACCCGGTGAACATATCTTCTTCACTGCCCTCTTTGGCCAATCTATCTACTATCTCGTTGCCACCAATACTAATTATTCTGTGTTGATGTTTTTAATGTCACTTGCCAATACCAGCGAGCCTGTTTGGTGAAAGCAAGCGAATTTAGAGCAGATGGTGCGTTTCTTGTTTTTCAGTGGCGCCATCTATGGCCCAGAAGACAACAGGATGGGCCCATTCATACATCTATTCATTCATTCATTCATCCACAGATCCTAATTTTGACCTGAACCAGAGAACGAGCAATCTACAATTCAATAACTGCACTTGTCACCATTTACTACATGGGGACTCTTCGGCAAGCAAGAATCGAACTCATGAGCCTACCAACGAAGCTATCTCGACCAAAAAACTATTCTGTGAATGGGTGATTCAGTAAAGATACAATTAATCCTTGTTTTTTGAACCCGACTTTAAAGACTAATTATAATAACTTTATGTGACTAGTCATAGTTTTTTAAACTTTTTTATTTATTTGCTTATGAAAAAAAAAGAAAATTTGAACAACTATAACTAAACTTGTACAGTTTTTTTAATAATTTGTTATTATTATGGGGCTTAACATTAAAAAGTTATCAGCGTAAGGGATACCGGACAATAGCACTTGACCTTTAAAAACAGCAGTGTAAAAATATCAGGTAAATGCTCTTAACCTTTTAATCACACTGAAATTTGCCGATAAACAACATCTAAAGTTCTAAACGAGAAGATCAAAACTAAAAAAAGAATTTGAATACTGTGATGAAGTCTGGGAAAAAGTACATAAGATTGATAACATTAGTTGATGACTGAAAAAGTTGTAACACCATTTGCCAACTCAAACAGTCATATCTGTGACTGTCTCCCATCCCAAAATCATCATAAGAGAGTTGCAGGACAATCTCATTAGCGAGAGTTCCAAAGTCTCTATAGTGCGACTTTGAGGAGAACTCCTCCAGACTAAAAGTCTGGGGCTGTCTGCTACTATGGTAACAAGCTAGAGCACATTTCTAATGGGGATGAAAGAAAGTGTCGATTGGTTTACTCACTACGACCTATGCCAAGATTAAGATAAAACTATTCACCCCACATCCCTATTCGAAGTGTCTTTTCCTCGTAACCTAGTGCCCGCCACGGTGCGAGACGGGTGTCTGGAGGAGTTCTCCTGAAAGCCACACTATACAACACCAGCAACACATGCTTCACAAAACTTTACAATGAAACTGAGGCATGTGATATCCTCCTCAGGGAGAGTCCCAAAGCCTCTACAACATCACCCATAAAACGCCAGAACGAAACTGAGACAGGCGATGACAGCCCCAAGACTTCTTAAGAACAGGAAATGATGTTTCCGTTTCAGCAACAAAATATCTGACGTCTTTCTAGCTTTTATCAACAATGGTCGGAATGCCTCGAAATTTTAACCACAGACTGGTGACGAGGGCAGTAGCTGATCTGGTATTCCTTTCTGAAAACTTTTGAGGGACAAACAACTTACAGTCACGACAGAACTAGCACCTTGCTGCTTATACACATCAGTTGTTTAAGTGACTGCCAGGATCGAACTTACAATGACGGACTATCAAAGTGACCGACGTTTTTACCGACTGCGCATCCTTAGCTTTCTGTACTAGAATCATCAAATGTTGGATGATTTCTTAATAACAGGCACAGGCAGTAATGTATTCTTCTTTAAGAATATCAAAATTAACTTTATATTTTTTCTTATCTTACCAATATATTTCAATTTTTTTTGTGTGTTACTTACTTGCATTGTATGTCTTGCCCATTGATAACTTTTTTACATTCTTGAATCATTCCATGCTTTGGTGCCAATGCATCCGCCTCCTCCCATGAGTTGTTAAGTTTCGCAGTTTGGAAGTCACGTTCGGTAGGCACCTGTCAACAAGAACATAAAAATTAACGGAAAATACCAATAATGAATAGAATGAAAACAGGGAAAGCAATAACGTACTCCTTTATATGACACGTTCCCTCCTGGACCACAGTATTTAGGATATTGGCTACAAAACAGTTGTTCGTCACCTTGAAATTCGCATTTAGCATGGCTTTTCTCACAATAAACTGGACGGCTAATTCTGCGAGAAAACAAAAGTATATATTATTACTGTAAAAATAATAAAATACGCAGAATATTTAACGTAGTTTTACTTTGACATCCAATATTAACTAAAATAAATGAAAGCTAAGTTACTATGTGTTTTAACAGAATTATTGCACACATTTATGTACAAATTATAAATGAAATCTTTCAAATAGTTTCTGAGTTATAAAATTTCAGAGAATCTTAGCTTTAATTTTTATTTGAGATGTAAAAAGTTTATTTTTTAAAATTTGATGTTGAATTTGATACTGGAATTTAGCACTTAAACATAAAAACTAACTTTGTACAAGATGTTTTTTTTTCTTTTTTCTAATTTTTCCAATTCTTAAAGGTTTTAAAATTCCGACTCATGGATATATTCGATTTCATTTTTTTAACATAGAAAAGGAAAAAATCTTAAATATTTCAAAACTCCGGCTTCATCAATTTCAGTGTTAAATAACTAATAGGAAAAATCGTTGTAAAAGATTCACCTAAACACGCAGCAGAAAATAAAAGTTGAGATAGTTGCAATTATCAGAATTTCTATCAATCTTCTTTAAAATTAAATACCTTGAAAATTACAGCATTTTTTTTGCTATGCAAATTATAATTTCAATTATTAAGACCATCAAGATTAAATTCCTTTTTCTGATATTTTCAAGTCATAATCATGATTTGCATAAAATAAAGATTCGATATTTGACGCAGATTTTATTTAATCCTACGCACCCTTCTGACTTCGTTCCTATTAATGCTGATTGGTAAGATTTGATTTTTAATTGTAAATGCTTTATATGAAGATAAATCTGTGATTTTAGAAACTGTGACGTCACAATAGTTTAAATTTTGATGTTCGAACAGGGTTACGGAGATAAGTTGCAGGCAATGAAAAGAAGTTTGAACATCTAAATTGAAAATATCTTGTAATATCTTGTTTTTTCTCTCGAAAATAGCTTCGTAATATCAGAAAATAAGAAATTGCGGATAAACAAATGCGCATTTTAGGCTTCCTTAGCATTGTTTTCCATAAAGGGCTTCGCCAACTATATTGAGGATTCTGTAAAATTCTACTTCTTTATTGTAACTTTCTTTATTTTAAAGACAGGAACGATATAACTCTAAATTCTTTTACTAGGTGGCGCTGTAAGCGATTTCCTTTCGTAGTACATAACCACTGGAATACAATTTTATTCCTGCGGAAGGAGAATAATAATAACGAAAAAGCTGATTTTAGTGGCCATTCGGAATACTTGAAGTTGACTAATTTAAAAATCGGCCTAATTACAAAATGCCGCTATAATTTTGATTTGTGACAGGTTCATTGTATTGGATCAGGAATTTTCGAATCTGCCTGATATTTTTAAGCTTATTGCATTGAGTTTATATGTCTTTCAACTAGTTAGAAAACCTGTGCGAAATTATTCAGACTGCATTTTGCTTAGGTTTATTGCAATGATGAAATAAATCTATTTACAATAAGCCTTCTCAACTCTGGATTCATTATAAAATGCCTGAAATAAATCAGGCTAGTAGATGAATAAATGGATCATTTTCTTATTAATCTAAAGGTATGCGGACTCACTGAGATAAGCATAAAATAAGTCAGGCTGATTAGAAAATTCTGCAGATTTTTTCAATTAGTCAAACGCATTGTAAAATAGCGTCAGTTGTACAAACTTATCCAATTATCCTAAAACTTATACACAAGTAAATATAACTGATATAATTAAGAAAGAAAAGTGCTTACAGATTATTACTGCAAAGTGTCAAGGCCGGTTGGACGATTTCATAAGGACTACTAAACTTCAAATTAACAGTCGTTGGGTAAGTGAAATAAAATTGTAAAAAAGTACAAGTTTGACACAACAATCCCACAAAGCAAAGTACAAAAATCAACGACTTCCAAATTCTTTTTTTCCAACTACTGGAAGCTGCGATTTTTGGAAAACTCGTTATGAGGGAAGTTTCGAAGAACTTCTTCAGATGTTCTTCATTCGATTTCAGGAATGACCACAATCTTGATTTGTTTTCTTCCCTTTTGTCCCCTTCAACTGGCTGAAATTAAACAGTTATCATTATGTTATTGATGCCTAATAATGAATGCTTAATAATGATTTAAATAATGAATTTATTAATGGGAAAAAAAGTACAAATGACGAGAACCAGTCTGCACTAAGAATTGCCTGTTTACAATGAAGGGATTGCTTATATACTAACAAAGAATGTTCTAGAAACTTCTTAGGAATAACAAAAGAGGAAATGATGTAAATTGAATGTACCAGAAGCTTCTGGAATGTTCATAGAATTAAATAAGAAAAAATGGGAATTAGTGTCCGCTTCCCTTATCGAACCTGGGACCTTCTGCTTTGTAGATTTGAATTAAACCTCGGAGCTACTGAGACTTAGACTGCTCGGCAATATCATTATTATATGAGTATTGTTCGCATCTATTTCAATTGCGTCTTCAATATGCTAATCAATAAGTGAAGACGATATTTCAAATTACGATATCAGACACGAAAATGTGCTTACTCTAAATAAACATACTTTTGTTCATCGGTTTCAGATTTGTGCCTTTCAAAATTTGGAGAGTAACTAGAATCTGGAAAACATGATCCCAATATTTTCCAGATTCTAGTTATGATGTACTGTAAACAAGAATGGTGTAAACTAGAAGTCCTCAACCACTTATTTGAGGGCACTTTTGTACTATTGTGATAAAAAATATGTTTGAGATTCCAATAAAATGCTTTGTAAAATTCCTACTATAAATTCACTTAGAAAAAATTAATGGGATCTGCTGTCCGACCCATATTCTAGAATATGCTCATAGGTTTAAAAAGATTGGAAATTCCCGGTCTTGTCCAACTAGATTCAGGTACCAGAGTTAGATGTCGATTACAAAAATCAGTAACACTTGTATTTCTATGCAAGTAATCACAAGTTCAGCAAACGATGACTTGTAATCAAAGTAATTTAAAACTTTAATGTTATAATCGGGATTACAATCATCATTAACAACGATTACAACAATCGTATGATCTATGATTACACGATATTACAAGTAATCATAGGATACGATTACAATAGCAAGTCTTCTTTGAGAATATAGTTCGATATAAAACTACATTTATGATACATTGAAGAAACAATAAGTAAAATAGCCTTATATGCACAGAATATACATTTTAATAACAAGTAACGAATATCATTGTAATCTTGACAAGTGATTACCCATAACTATGGTCACATAATGATTAACAGTAATCAATTATCCGCAATCCTTACTTGTAACCAAGCTGTATTTTCTTCTAAACTTTGTTCTATACCATGATAAAGGTTTTAAAAAAACATCTGTCTGTTAAGTAGATCTCAGGATGGATTTTTATTTCTTTTATGTTTTAATAATCTTATATAACTATTTCTCTCTATGTAGTGTTATCTCTCGAACTCTCTTCCTCGATGATGATTTTTGCTCTGAAAATTGATTACAGGTTCCCTCGTTTTCTGAATTGGGTTCAAAATCACAAGGTAACACATTTTAACAGTTACGAATTGTACACTTGTTATATTGATCAACTTCGCATAGCATTGTCAAATGTCTATATCTCTTTGAAAAAAAAATCGCAAAATGAATTATTTTAAGTAATTTTACTATTTATTGTGAATACCAAATTTTCTGATAACAATTCTAATCTTCGAATATTTTCGTTTGAGTCAGCATTTTTAACCAACTTTCAAAGATTTCATCACTTTTTTTTGTAGACAACCAAACAATTCGAATATATCAAACTGATGATAAGTACTATTGTTACAATACGTGAATAGAAGATGAAAAAAGAAGAGAAAATGTTCACAAAGCTTCAGTTTTTTTTTTTTAAAGGTTTGAAAAATAGCTGACATAACTATAGATTACCATTTCAAAATGGCACAGGTCCAAAACGTTTACGAGAAAAAAAGATTCGACGACAATTACCAAGGTATACTAGATTGAAGAAAAGAAAAAGATTGTTAAAGAAACGGAAAAGGAACATTCTAGATGTCATTGAAATGAAGAAATAAAAGGTTGAAAAATTATGATCCTTCAGTAGAATAGTTTTTTTAGTCTAACAAATGTATTAAAGCATCTTAGTGACATTTAACTTTGGGATATTTAGAACAGGATGACAAGTGGAAAAGTTTAAGCATCCGTTAATATAAAACTTACCAGTTATTAGGTTAAATAGTTAATAAATCTTTATATTTATTAAATTTTCCGAGTGATAAAATTTCTTCAAGTGGTAGATAAATTTATGTTTGAATGCACGATTCTTTGCCTGTAAATTTGATTTAAAGTAATTTTCCACACCACTACATGTAAATGAGCACCACTTTGTTCCTGCTCTCTAGTGATGAAGCTTTTAAAAAGATTGCCAAAATTACCGTAATTTCTGAAAGCTTTAATTTTTAATCGTCTATCACTCAGTATTTTATTTTATTTTATAACCGTGGTTTAACAGCCTATCCAATCTTATGGATTTAAGACTACTAACGTTCAACTTCGTAGCCTTGTAATTTTAAATCCAAACAAGAGAACTCCTGGATCAGGTATTAGGAGAAATTTGCCTTCGCCGAGAACTCTTGATGGAACTAACCCGCATTTGCGTTACATGGAGAGGAAGACCACGAGGCCCTCCCACGGTTAGCCTGACGGCAAAGGAACTCTAACCCATGATCCGTCTACCACTCAGGATATTTCAAGTCAGCACTGTGGTCGGTGCAAGCCGGATGCGGAATTCGTATCGACTGGGATTCGAACCCGGATCGCCTCATTGGAAGGTGAGCGCTCTATCCCCGGAGCCATTGCGGCTCTCTATCACTCTATAAGAAATTTTGAAATAAAGCGCAGTAGTTGGCAGCATTGCATTTTCTTTCAAGTATATATAGTAAAAATTCGCTGTATCGAGAACAGCATATTTCGAGAAGTTCGCTATTACGACAGTTTCCCAAATCACCGCCAAAGGCTGATAATAAAGAAAAATAATTGGAATGTTTATAACGAGTTAAAAATTTTTTTTTTAAGGAAATGCATTTTTCTGTTGCTTAAATTTTCAGTATTAAAAGGGCAAAACGGAATACATTTTTAAATAATTCTGTATCAATGTAGAAAAGTGAAAAACGACCATCATTTCAAATTTCTTTCTTACATTCTTAATCCATTATGTTTATAAAGCAAACGTGTGTGCGACTATTAGCGAGTAACTTTCTTCCGTACAAAAATAAATTTAAAAAAATCTGCTACTTTAGGAATCTTGTTACACGTTTCAAAAGAAAGTGTGTCTCTTTCTTGACCGCATATCTACAATGTCCTGTTATTTCTCATTTTGACTGCTTACTTTTGGAACAAATTTATTGTTACCAACGGCGTCAAAAGCTATTACACACTATTACATTAGAATCTTTACTATTGTTATTTCAACTTAAAATATGTTTATCCCTTAGATCAGTGATTCTCAACCTTTTTTTTTTTGTGGTGGCACACTTTTAACGACTTTGAAATTTGACGGCACACAATGAAAAAAATTAGTTTTTAAGTTGTTTACCTACCTATAATGCACTGTGTTAAATAGTTTGTGATAATAATTTTGAATGTGAAATAAAATAATATGTACTACAAAAGCACATTTATTAAGGGATTAATTATTTCTTTCGACTAATTTTTTATTAATTAGTAACAGTTATTTATTTTTTTTTGCCAGTTATTAATTGTTAGCTTGTTTTCTATTGTTATTAACTGTTAGTTTTTTACATTAATTATTATTTTTTGGCGATTTCTCGTTAATTAGTTTTATTGCTAATTATTAATTGTTAGCTTATTTTCTGTTATTTATCGTTTGTGAATTTGTTTTTAGAATTATAAATTGCATAGCTTACTTTAATGATTAGCTTTTATTTCCGTTTGAAAGTTAATATTTACCTTTGCTTTCTTTTTTTAATTAATAATTTTAATAGTCATTAAGTTTTCTACTTATTTCAACATTTTTTGTCAAAGACAATTTAAACTCTTCCTTCTTATTTTAAGATTCTCAGAGACAAGACAATCGCCGACAAAGATGTGCACGCGGTTAAAGCGTGGAAAATTTATAAAAAGTATATATATACGTTTTTCTTTAATTTAAACTTTACTCGTAATAAAAAAAGCATTATAATTTTATCATTTCTAATATTTGGCGGCACACAAAAGTGCCGTGGCACAATGGTTGAGAATCACTGCCTTGGAACAACAGGCTCTCTATAACGAGAATGCTATCTGCTGGCATGAGTTGTCGCTATAGCGGAGATTTACCGAACTTTCTTATGATTCTGCGACTATTTCTTGCGTCTCACGGAGTACAAACTTTCGTGAAGAACAAAAAATAACTATGAAAAAGTCTGATATTTAAAATTCTATTTCTCAGGAACTATTAAACCGATTTTGCTCAAACAATATTTTACAACAATATTAGAAATACAAGGAAAAATGGATGTTTTTAAAACACTTTGTAGTCAAATTCTGAACTAAAAATATAATTTTTATAAAAAAAAGAAGAATATTGATTATATTTCTTACAAGCAAATTATTTACTCTATGTAGTTTTTCGTTGAAATAAAATAGAAAAACTTATCATCTGTATAAGTCACTCAAAATAAAACAAAAAGGAATTTCTTGTTACGAAATTTTATCTAGAGCGCAAACAATGGACATTCGATTTTGAACCAAGGGGAAGGGAGGGAAAAAAAACTATGCTGTTTTTGCAGATTTCTTTTAAAAAGTTTTTTTTTTTCTTCCACAAGAGGATTATAAATCATTCTCTGGCATATTTGTGAAAAGAAATTTGTTTTCATCAGTTCTATGGAATCAATTTATAAATTGAGTGAATTGGTGATTTGAAAAACATTTTGAAATCATTGATATTCGTATGACAATGCATACATAGATTTTGATTTATTGATCTATTTTTCTATTACTTGATGTTTTGATAACTCATTGCAGAATATAGGTATCATTATAAATTTATCTTTTAGACCATTAATAAACAATTCAGAATCAGTTCTCTATATTTAAATTCAAATTTATTCAAGTCGTCTCTTCGTTAATTTTCGATGAGTCAACCAACTTTTTTTTTTAACTTTAGCATGTTTTTTCGAAGAACTTTCGCCAAGCAAAGTAGCAAAGCAAGCAAGTAGCCTTACACTTCAAGCAAAGCTATGATTTTCAACTGTATATCATCTTGCTGCAAATACTTATTTGGGCTTTAGAACGGACAAATACCTAAAATATTTTAAAAGCTGTTATACTTTTCTTTTTTTTAAATCACTAATTTAGAGACAATTTTCTACTTAGAAAAATTATCAATGACCTAATCTTATTTTTTGCAAATTTTTATGAGCCTAGATAAGTCAGCATTGGTGTAAGTTTCTAAATATTAGAAATTAAACCACAAACGTTTTTCATTTTCTCAAAATTCCATATTGACGCTTTGCGCCATTCTCAGAATTAACATAGGCTTAACTTCACCTAACAGTCACGAGTAGCTGTTGAAAACTCAGATCAGTTATGAAGTTTTTGAAGTTATACTTCTTATGCGACTTCCAACGAGGTTGCGTTAAACGTTTAACGCTACATTTTTATTGGCCGGGAAATCACGTGGAAGGATCCAGTTTTCCCTCATTCAGTTTCAATTTGTTTTGGTTCTCACTAGCATAAAAGTCATAAAAGTACTGTTTTTCAATAAATATTTTTTTTAGTTTGATTTGATACACATATAATTTAATAGGTTAGTATTTTTTATTTTCAAATTTAGTGGATAACAATTGTAAAAAATGAGCGAAAACAATCCCACGGATTTAAGGTTATGTCAAGGTATGTCTCTTGTGAACATCAATTGATTGTTAGGTTTTCTCTTTTGAAATTACATTATGACGCGTTCACATACATTATTAATTCAAATACATTTTCGAGGGCGAGACGATGAGGCAACCACAAGCACTTCCACTGGTTCAAGAGGGGAAAATGCACAATATTACCGTGATTACAAAGCACGGAAGCGAGCGGAGCAGGCAAAAGAGTCGTTGAATAGAAATAGTGATCCTTCTACGACTGCTGATTCTTCTACAATCAACGTCGCAGGTTACGAAGTTTAACTTCTTCCGCGCGGAAGGACTCCACGCACTATTTTTTGTTGTTGTTGTTATAGTTCATTTACATCGCACTAGAGTTGCACAATGGGCTATTGGCGACGGTCTGGGAAACACCCCTGAGGATGATCCGAAGAAATGCCATCACAATTTTGATTCTCTACAGAGGGAATGGCACTCCCGCTTCGGTAGCCCGACGACCTGCACGCGAAGTCGAGCACTTTACGGTAGAACAGTTTAACGAGGGCACATACCGCACACCCTCGGTCCCTATGCAGACTGATCCAAGAGGTCATCCACCCGCACACTGACCGCAGCCAGTGATGCTTGACTCCGGTGATCTGTTGGGAACCGTGTCTTAACGATCAGTCCACTGCGGGACAGATCAGTTATGAATATAGTCAGTTATGTATATAGTCAGTGCATTATTTCAGTTATGAATATAGCATATTATGAATATAGCATGCGATTACAGAGCCTTCTAAAAACAGCCTTGAGAAAAAATGAAACACTAAAGAATTTCGACAGGCCGGAGATGGGGGTCATGAAAGTTTAGGTTCCCTTGTGACCTGCAGTAATGTGGTCAGCATTGCACACCAATTGCCTTTACTTCATACGCAAGCTGGGACTCATCGATCTTAAGTTGAGTGGGCTTTAAGCCGTGTTCGGAAATAAAACCCTGGTTCTCCTCAATGACAGCTCAGTGTCTTAACTTCTGAGACTTCTTCTTCCTAACTGTGTTTCATTAGGCGAAAATAACTTATCTTATTTATTTAATACGAAATAGTTCTCAATTAGTAGTTATACTTAAAAATATTTTAGTGGAAATGGAACTACCTTTAAAAAAAAATTTCTGAACTAACTTTTTTTTTTAAAAATAAAAGAAACTTTAACATTATGAATTTCTTTTATAAAAACAAATAAATTAAGTTTTCTTTTTTCTTACAATATTATCGTTTGTGTTTTCTGCTATGCAAAGTTACAGTTTACACGCGATTTTTAAAGAAAAAATAAAATTTTAAAAAAATTTAGAACTCAGAAGACTTTGAAAAAATAAATAAGTGATCTTACACATCCAAATTTAAAGTAAATCGGTAGTTGTGTGAAACTAAATCAATTTTTTTTCACGTTTTTATTTATTTAAGAAAATGTATCCCATTTCAGTTGCTTTACGATTTTAAAATTATTCAATTTTATGCAGTATACCACTAAAATAAGGGATATTTGAGGTGGTTTTATTTTGTAACATACTGTAAATTTGAAATAAGTTATTTAAATAATTGTTCAATTACTGTTCACGATATTCAATTAAGTTATATGATAATAAGATTAAGATATGATTAATAATATGATATATGATTAGGTTATATAAGGGATAAGATATTCATTTTAGATATTATATTTTATTTACATAGTGAATATAAATATTTCTCTAAAAAATCGTTCGTTTTTTTTTTTTAACGTGGGACTTCACTTTTTAAAAGTCGGGGTTGGAAAAAAACTAATAAAATTATAACTTAAATAATTGTCACAAGATTCATTTGAATAATATTTTGCTTACATACTAAGTATAAATGTTTTTCTAAATAATTTTCATACGATCAAAGCATTCATTTCTTCTTGAAGCCTAAGGGACCTCATTTTCAAATAGTCGAAGTTCAACAAATTTTTTTGACACCGCAGCTCAGTCATTAAAAGAAAATATATAGCACACACAAAAAAACTTCAATAACTTCTGGTACAATGATCGGATTTTTACGTACTAGGACTCAATCTTAATGATCCGAAAGCATTACTTTAAGCATCCTTATTAATTAAAGCAATTGATATTTTAAGCTTGAAATCAGGCACCAAAACGTACGACCAAACGTGAATAGCCACACTCTGAAAAACATAGTTCCAATATTTTATAGCAGGAGACCGATCATCCTTAATGTAAATTTCATTGTTTGCGCATTTCATCATTTCAAAAAAGTTTTATTTTCGAAACTTTATTTTTCAGGAACTATTGTACTGATTCCTTCCCAAATTTAAATTTCGACATTCAAATTACGTAGATTAAATGGATCTAAAGCTTTATATACCTTGCAGCTCAAATATTTTTTTCTACCATTCGTAAATTAATATCGTTGTATAAACAAGTTTTATAATTACGTGCAAAAACTTATTGATTTGCTATTATATATAGCGAATCACACGAAAAGTTAAATTAATTAAAAGGGGCCCAAATTTTCGATCACTCTCTTGCCTAAACTGTTTGGCTTATATTTTTCAAATTACAGTTCTCGCTATATGTCAAGGATCGAAATTGGATAAAAGAAAATGTCGAATCTGTGTCCGATTTCGCAACTAAAATATCAACTACGCAAATTATGTAACATGTTTAGATTAGAAACTCAAGGTATTAAGATTGAGTCCTGATAATATTTATTAATTCGATTTATAGGTCAAAGTCATGCAAAATGTTAGATTTTTTTTATGTACTGTGAAATAATTGATTCCTGAAAAAACTTTGAATTAATACCTTTGCTTTCTGAATAATCTTTAAATGTAACAAAATGTGGAAGATAATGCCTTATAAAGAGCACATGACAAAAAAAAAATCAACTCGCACGTGCAATTTGTGAAATAATAAATCTATGGAAAACGATCTTTGCGCAGGAAAACTTAATACTCGAATAAATTCTTGAGATGCAATAATAATTCTCAAATTTTAGAAAAGTTTAAAACAAATAGAAAGATAATGTATAAAAAATCACCTTTTTTGACATATCGGACATTTCGACTGGTGAAATACTTTTATTGCGATGAAAGATATCTTCTGCCATGCTGACAACTAATTTCTAACCTAAACCACAAGCATATTTCATTTAATTTAATATTATAAGAGTCATTAAAAAATACTACAGTTGAAACTAGAAACAAAATTAAACTCGAAATTATTTTAAACATGTAATAAACTGCGTGTAAAGTTTTAAGGGCTTTTAAAAGAAAAGTACACCCGGAGGGTTTTAATATTATTTAGAATTTATTTTGTATATGATGGTTTTTTAAACTGTACATTAAGAGCGGTCATTATAAAACGCCTTGCGTAAAAAAACATTATCCAGCAGTTCGTAAACAAACAATTAAAGCAAAAACCAATTTTTTCAAGACATGTCATTATAAATTTGTGATCTATATGTATAATGCTTCAAATTGTTATGGTTTTATCTTCTTTTTTTTTAAATTAAACATTTGAGTGTTTTTTAAAGATTTCTTTAAGTCCACAAGCTCTTTTCATAAGATCTTAATCCTGAGACATAAAGAAAAGCCTTTTTTCGACAATATAAAATTTCTTTTATAACATAAGCTTATGATTAACATGTATATGATTTGTAGTTGTAATGAATATGACGTGGGTTAGTTAAAAGTATTTATTCAAACTAACAAAAATTAAAACTATATCAATGGGTCCACAAAAGTAGTTGGTTTCTGTTACTTAACTAAGTTGTGACTTATCATGTTTAAAGATTAGATTAACGTTTACTGGTCGTCCGTCAAATATGTATTATATGCTTATGAAAATTTTGGCACACACATCTTTATCTTTCTTTAAAAAAAAATGCGATTTTCAAAGTAAGGATTAAAAAGGGTAAATTAATCGGATTTTTTTTTGTTTGAATATGTGATTAAAATTTCAATATTACTAGAGGCAACTTTCAAAATTTAAAAAGTAGCATTTTTAAAGTAGCACTGTTTTCAAAAACAGCATTCAAACAGAGTGATTTTTTATGCTAATCCATAAGTCTAAAAGATACAACAGCCTCTTTAGAAATTAGTTACACAATGTATATTTTTAATTTTTGGGCATTAATATTTAATAGATTAAAAGTCAATTAAATCAAATTAATATACGCAAGTCAGACACTGATAAATATGGCAATTTTAACAAAAATACTATTCGTTAAAAACTTTTTAATGCACATTACTTTGTAAATTATATGCGGCATGAATTGATATCATGCATGTTATACAGGGTGTCCCAAAAGGTCGTTTACAAACTTAACATGCTGGTCTGTCATATCATGCTGAACAAGATTTACATAGGAACTTGTGTCCGAAAATTAAAACTGCGACCGCTAGAGGGCGATAATTGCACGAAAACGGGAGAGTGGGAAAAACAATCATTTCAGGCGTGNAAGAGTCATTAAAAATATACTACAGTTGAAACTAGAAACAAAATTAAACTCGAAATTATTTTAAGCATGTAATAAACTGCGTGTAAAGTTTAAGGCTTATTAAAAGAAAAGTACATCCGGAGGGTTTTAATATTATTTAGAATTCATTTTGTATATGATGGTTTTTTAAATCGTACGTTAAGAGTGGTCATTATAAAACGCCTTGCGTAAAAAACATTATCCAGCAGTTCGCAAACAAACAATTAAAGCAAAAACCAATTTTTTTAAGACATGCCATTATAAATTTGTGATCTATATGTGTAATGCTTCAAATTGTTATGGTTTTATCTTCTTTTTTTTAAATTAAACATTTGAGTGTTTTTTAAAGATTTCTTTAAGCCCACAAGCTCTTTTCATAAGATCTTAATCCTAAGACATAAAAGAAAAGCCTTTTTCGACAATATAAAATTTCTTCTATAACATAATCTTATGATTAAAATGTATATGATAGTTGCAGATGCAATGAATATGACGTGGGTTAGTTAAAAGTATTTATTCAAACTAGCAAAAATTAAAACTATCACTGGATCCACAACGCAAAGTTTTATCTGTTACTTAATTAAGTTGTGACTCATCATATTTAAAGAATAGATAATAATCCGTCAAATATGTATTATGTGCTTAAGAAAATTTTGGCACGCACATCTTTAACTTTTTTTAAAAAAATGCCAGGTGAAAAAAAAAATGCGGTTTTCAAAGTATGGATTAAAAAGGGTAAAAAGATATTTTATCGGAATTTTTTTTTGTCTGAATATGTGACTAAAATTTCAATATTACTAGAGACAACTTTTAAAATTTAAAAAGTAGCATTTTTAACTGTTTTCAAAAATAGCATTCAGACGCAGTGATTTTTTATGCTGATCTATAAGTATAAAAGACACAACAGCCTCTTTAGAAATTAGTTACACAATGTATATTTTTAATTTTTGGGCATTAATATTTAACATATTAAAAGTTAAATAAATGAAATTAATATACGCAAGTCACACACTGATAAATATGACAGTTAATTTGAACAAAAATACTATTCATTAAAAGCTTTTCAATGCACAATACTTTGTAAATTATATGTGGCATGAATTGATATCATGCATGTTATATAACTTAAAAAATCATCTACCAAACTCAAAAAGCTAAATTTTGCATATCATACTTTTTAAGAAAAGGCTGTATATTATGGCAAAGATACAAAATAACTTAAAATTCTCAAGAAGAAATTGATAACACTGTCACATCAACAAAACTGCATGAAAAAATTTAAACATAATTGAACGTAAAAAATAATCTAACATGTTCAGAAGTTATCAGTAAGAAATTGTTAACAATGTCACATTAATAAAACTTTAAAAGAATGGAAACATTACTAAAAATTAAAATAACCCAAAATGTATAGAAATTCCTAATAAGCTTAATAATTCTGAAACTGTAAGAGAAGTTGTAGTAAAACCTGAAATACTTAGAATTTTAAATTAATGATGTAACTTCGAAGAAACTGTAAAAAAAGTACCAAATACATTATTAAATATTTAAAAATTCTCAATAAGAAATAGTTAACAATGTCCCTCTAATGAAACTGTTAAAAAAATTGGAATGCTTATATAAAATACTTGAAATTTCTTAATAAGCCATAAATAGCAATGTCACCACACCAATGAAACTGTAAAAAATGTAACTAAAACAAGAAATTAAATAAATTCTTAATTTAAAATTAATAACACTTTTATACTAATAAAACTGCGAACAAAATCATAACATAATCTGAAATATGTAGAAATTTTTAAAAAGAAATTAAAAACAATGTCTCACAATTGAGCCAAATTAATGCACAATAAAAAAATTAAAAAAACTGACTGGCCTGATACAACTGACCTAAAATATCTAGAGACTTTAAACGAAACTAATAATGTTGTAACACAAATAGATATGTAAAAGAAATTATAGAATTACCTAAGATATATGGTATCAAAAATAGTCATGACATCCACAAAGCCAAATTGAAACTGATCTGTTCTATCTGGAAAAAAAGAGTAATAAACAAATGGTTTCTCCAAAAAGCTTTCCACAACGACAATAATCAGTTTTCATCAAATTCTAAAATATCGACATTTGCAGCAGCGACTTTTATTTAATAACGAACAAAAGGGACGAACGACTAGCAAATATAGCATTAAAAAGTTCCAATTTTCGATATTATTCGAGAGTTTTCGATCAATGTTCCATTTCCGCGGAAAGAACATTTCAGATGAATGGATGTTGGAATAATTTGATGTTGTCGCTGTGTATTTCTATAATGTTTTGTTAAGGAACAGATAGGTGTGGTTAAATAAGAGCAAAGTAGCATAGATATTGTTTTATTTATTCATTTAATGTAAATAAAAGCACTTAGTCACGCATTAAGTACATGCTTCTCTGTATGTAATTTATGCCTTTTAGTAAAATGTTTCATTCAATGTTTGTCAAATTTCATTTCAAACTTAATATTTTGAACCAAAAGGTAAAGTTTTATAAACAAATTGAATAGGTTATCTACGAAAAACTTAAAATCTGCATATTTATTAAAAACCTTTTAGCGAAACGTTTTATGCGTAGGCTATTTTTTAAGGTAGTTTAATAAATAAGATGCAATAAATGTCATAAGAATGTTATTAACCAAAAATAACTTTTATACACAGATAACTTCGTTCAAAACTAGTTTCAATATTAGAAATTATTACAAAAATATGAATATTATATACTATAATTAGTCATGTATTAACTATGATTATCTATATGTGAACTAATGTTTTTAACTAACTAAATATATTTCGAGTTTTTTTTATATTGAATATTTAGATTAAAAAACAAAGTTCAGAAAACGAATTGAATAGGTTATCTACGAAAAACTTAAAATCTGCATATTCATTCAAAAACCTTTTAGCGAAACGTTTTATGCGTAGATAGATATTTTTAACAGTGGCTGTAGAAAGGAAATGCAATAAATGTCATAAGAAAGTGATAAACCAAAAATACCTTTTATACACAGATAACTTCGTATAAAACTAATGTCATTACTAAGTATTATTATAAAAATATTATTATTATATATTGTGAAAAGTCGTCCGATTCAGGTCAAAATTACGAGCTGTGGATGTATGAATGTGTCCGCCTTATAAAAAGGAGTGATGTATGGCGTGGCGAAGTCGAATTCTTGGCCATAGATGGCGCCACTGAAAAACAAGAATCGTACACACTGACTTAAATTTGCTCAGTTTCAACAAGCAGGCTTACCCGTGTGGCAAGTGGCATTAGAACCAACCATGAAAAGTCGTTTATTGGGTATACTGTCATTTATATTTTTTAGCTAATTGAATGTAAATTCGAGTAGTTTTTTTTTATTTGAATATTTCGATACAAAAAAAAAGTTCAGCAAACAAATTAAATAGGTTATCTACGAAACACTTAAAATCTGCATATTCATTCAAAAATCTATCAGCGAAACGTTTTATGCGTAGACAAATATTTTTAACAGTGTTTGTAGAAATAAGAAGCAATAAATGTCATAAGAAAGTTATAAACCAAAAATACCTTTTATACACAGATAACTTCGTATGATACTAATGTCATTACTAAGTATTATGGTAAAAATATTATTATTATATACTATAAAAAGTCGTTTATTGGGTATATTGTATGTCATTNATAACTTTGTATAAACTAATTTCATTACTAAGAATTATAAAAATATAAATACTATATTCTATAATTATTCTAATAACTATGTTTATCTGTATTATGTAAACTATATTTTTTAACTAACTAAATATATTTCGAGTTTTTTTTTCCAAATGGAATATTTTCACACAAAATAAAGTTAAGGAAAAAAATTGAATAGGTTATCTATGAAAAAATTAAAATCTGCAAATTTATTATAAACCTTTCAGCGAAACATTTCATGCGAAGGTAGATATTTTTAACATTGAATAAGATGTCATAAAATGTTATAAACCAAAAATTTCTTTTATACAGATTTAACTTCGTATAAAACTAATTTCATTTCCAAGTATTAGTATAAAAATATTATTATATACTATGAAGAGTAATTTATCATACCATATTTACCATTCTTATCTGTATGTAATTTATATTTTTTAGCCAACTAAATGTAAATTCGAGTTTTTTTTTTCGAATTGAATATTTTGATACAAAAAAAAGTTCAGCAAACAAATTAAATAGGTAATCTACGAAAAACTTAAAATCTGCATTTTCATTAAAAAAACCTTTTAGTGAAACTGTAGAAATAAGGTGCAATAAATGTCATGCAATAAATGTCTTTTTTACCCAGATAACATCGTTTAAAACTAATTTCAATACTTCATGTAATATTGAAAAAGTATGAATATTATATTCTATAATTAGTCATGAAACAAATAAAATACAATTAATACCACAAAATTATATAAGAAAAATACCTTTTTTACAAAGATAAATTTTTACTATAAATTTAATATCAATACTAATAGCAATGCTATAAAGCATATTATTGCTGTTATTATTACTATAGCGATAATATATTATGGTTATAATCTTTATTATTACTACGCATATATCTTTTATTGTTTGCTAAAGTTTCATTTTTACTATTATTATTTTACTTATATCATTACTTTTAAACTATTCAAATTGAATATTGTGATACAATAAACAAACTTTAGAAAACATAATGAAGAAGTGATGTACAAAGCAGGTTATCAGTATGGACAATTCATTTATTCAAAAACCTTTTAGTAGAATGTTTTGTAAACATATGACTGCTATTAAGTCAAATGCAATAAATATATGGAAAAATTGTGTATGGAAATTAAATTTTCGACACAGATAACTTATTTATTCAAAACGGTTTTTTTTTTTTAATCTTTTCGTAAAATGTTCTATGAAATATATCTTATTTTCTAAATTGTCCCTGTTTTTTCATAAAACGAATAATATAAAATGGAAACGTAGACTAAAAACTAAACTATAAATGGATTTTTAACTGAGACAACTTATTTAGATTTTATCATTTAACAAATAACTAAAAACGTATATTGTAAAACACAGAAGTGTGTTATTGTTGCTGTCATAGATCATTAGTGCAAAGCGATGCGATTGTTCTTGTTTTCCAGGGCACCATCTATGGCCAAGAATTCAACTTGTGTCACACCCATACGTCAGACCTGTTTATAGGGCAGACATTTTGCAGTAATATTGCAGAACATATGCTAGTTCCCATAAAAAAATATTCTAAAGGAAACCGTATTTGCCCAAAAATAAAGGAGGAAATTTAGTCATGGTCTGTAATTTTAAAAATAGGCAAAGAATACCTATTTTTCATAGAATATGGCAGTTTCAGAATTAATAATTGTCTTTATTTTGTCAGGAGTGATGAAAGTTCTGTTAAGACAAACGTAAAATTTAAATTAGAAAATAAAATTTAAACTAGAAAATTTTAAATGCACAAACAATTCATACGATTTGATCAGGGATGATTATTGAAATATTATTTTGAAATTGGTGAACAATATTTGATTTTTTATTAAATTCTAAAAAATAGTAAAAAATCAGGAAATTGTTTTTTAAAAGGTTTTGTTTGTTTCCGTTTCATTTTTATTTAAATTATCTTTCTAAATTACTTTGCTTTCAATAAGAGAAATGAATCTTTACGTTATAAAAACAGGGATATATGAATTAAATTGGTTCTTTTTTTACACAATGCTATGTCTCACTTGAGCTTCAAATAAGTTCCACAAAATTATGTTTAAAAAATTTATTTTTAAATTTAGAAAAATAAAAGGTTTATTGGTATAAATTATAAGTAACTATTTAGAGTGCTCAAATTTAATAAAAGCATTTGATTTGATTACTTTTATAAATCATTGATTAAACTGCAAAATTGAAAGAAAATCCATTTTTACTCATTTTGGACAGTAAAATTAAACGTTTGTGAATGCATGATCACTTATTCCGTTTGATTATTTATTAGTTGTTCATTCTGTCTGATTTCTTTTTCTAAAAAAAACTCACACAACATCTTATAAGTCACCAAGATATTATAGATTGTTTGTTGAAAGAATATAATCCATATCAATCACCCTGATAGCAGCAATCCTCCTGCACGGCAGCGGGTGCTGCAGATTATTGCAGAACCAGCAGATTAATTTTGATCTAAGTGCTAAATATCCTTAGTTGTAGATGGATCATGAGTTAGAGTCCCCTTGCCCGTCAGGCTAATCGAACCGTGGGAGGTTTTCGAAGTTTTCCTTCTCAAGAAGCGCAAATGATAGTTTCATCCACGAAGGCAAATCTCCCCATACATGATTCAGAAGTTCTCTCGTCTTCTGGATTGGGCTCTTACTTTTTTTAATATTTACAATACAAAACAAATGAATTTTTAAGAATTGTTTTATAAAAGCAGTCGCAATTAATCTTATCAGCTTTAAAACATAATCCAAATAACAAAGATTAAAGAAAAGTTATTCTTACGTTGGACAATGATGCATGCTTTTTCCTCTGTTCAAAAAAATTCCTTCAAAGCAAAAAATAATTTTGTACCATTCTTCAAATCCTTCTGTAGACATTTTAACAAGCAATTGTTAAATAAAACGCTTCAGACATTAAATTAATTTTAGACATGCTAATCCGAAATGTTTCCAACAACGCAGACGAAAACAAAGCGTTCGTCAGCGGTGCATGAAATAGTGAATGCCATCTTTCGTTTAATAATAGACAAAAGACTGACCGCCGATGTATGACGCTACGTAATTCTGAAGTCCACTACTGGTCGTCTGCTTTAAAACCGTTCTTTTTCAGCAAATTATGAAGCAACTCGCGAGAAAATTCTTTTTTTAAATAAAAATAGCCGGCACTATTTAGAAGAAAATCAATAAAAGTGATTTTATACGAAAACATAATCGTTTGCAATTTTGCTTGGTGCGACTAGGCGCGGCATTTTGTGCTAAAAGTGGAAATTCCCTGAAGTATTTGAACTCGGCTGGATAA